AAGGGGAATCGGAGAAATAAATGCCCGCTTCTTCTCCAACGTCCCCCATCCTCGTGTTGCTGCATTTGGGGAGATGTTATTCCTGATGACAGACAAGGGCAATTATCTGTTATCCACCAGTAGTTTTAGCCTAATTTCATTACTGCTGTGCAATTCTTCCCCGGCCGCTAGTCTATCAATGTCTCCCAGAAAGGATTAGCCTGCATTTTCTTCATCTTCAAATGAATTTTAGCTGTCACTCCCTTGATGAATTGAATAGCCGGGGCTGCTAACCCAGGCGGGGAAGGGGGAGCCCGGGCGAAGCCAGATTGAAATGCAGCCGCGCGGCATCGGCTGGAGGCCTTGGCCTGCTCTGGCGGGTGCCTCCCGGAGGCCCAGGTGGCCCCTCGAGGGACGGGCAGGGCGGGCAGCACAGGGAGCCCCCGGCCTGGCAGGAAGGCTGGCTCGCCCCAGAGTTTCCTCGCCACCCTCCAAATAAGGGGCAGCTCTACCAGCAAGGTGAGCCCCGGCTGGCCACGGACCTTTTCTCACTTTCCACGACTCTTTGGGCAACCTCCCAGCATCACACCAACCGAAGGACTCCCCCACACTCCTCCCTCAGAACACATCCGCAAGTTCTTTTTTGCAAAGCGAAGAAGCCTTAAGGTTACGCTCTGAGCCTGAGAGCGCAGCGATGCCTCTCCTGTCCCAAACCCCACTCGGGGTGCCGGGTTTCAGAGACAGCAAAAAGACAGGGATGCAAACACACAATCCTGACGGCGTCAGCAGAAAAATGCAATATAAGCTGAGATTTAAGCTGATCTCAGGCTGTTGCAGGAGGGGGAGGCGGAGGTGGAGAGGCTCCCTCAGGAGTGGCAGGACCCCCAAATTGCTTGGAAAACTCAATAAAGCCGAGGATGGATGTCACAGAACGCTAACTCAGCAACTCAGGAAACCTGACCTGCTTTGAAATCCAGCTGACCCGGCGGTGCAACGACATTTAATCTCCCTTGGATGCCCCCCCCGCCGGAAACATCTGTCCGGTGGCACTGCTGGTTCGCCCTCCGTGCCTCCTACTCAACCTTGAAGCCCCCAGCCCCCCCCCCCGGTAATTGAACCCCACTTCCTAGCCTCCAACCTGTTCCAACTGAGCCCTGTGCCGCTTTGGAGAAAACTCAATGGCAAATTTATTTTTTAAAGAATTATTTAAAGGAATTTCTTCATATTCATAATTCATATTTTATTTCAAGACATCTGCTGCTGATTACATTACATTTAACTAAAATTAGATGAAGCTCTCAGAATGTAATTAAGCCCCTGCCAAAATTCCTGGCCCACCAATACCAGCCGAGCACAGCGGGGGACGTTCGGAGCCTAATATGTAATTAGGAGCTATTTTCTAGCGGTTTTTAAAGTCTGAAAATTAGCTGCCTTTATTAATCACACAGACAAATATAAAGCCAAGCCAATGCTTGCCGAAATTTCTAAAAAGGATTTTTTTTTAATTACACACCACATTGCACCGAGACTCATTTTGAATGTTGATTTGTTGTGCACTGACATTTTGACAACTAGTTCTCAATTTGTCTGTCGTAGTTCGGCAACAACAAAGCCGACAGTAATACTTAACTTTCAAAACCTTCACGGTGCCATGGGGGGCTCCTGGGAGGGGATTCATGCCTTAAATCCATCACGGAGTAACAGGCTGCCACGGGTGCCCTTCCACGCTGGGTGAAGGAAGGCCAGGCCCATCTCACCCACCCCCAACTGTAGAGTGAGGGTCTGCCCAAAGCAGCCCCCTTGTCAAAAAGATGCAGAAATTCACAGGCTCTCAGGAAGCATTTACACACCCTCAACAATTATCGGCGGTGATGCCTGACGACACCCAATTCTGCTCTCCCTGGACCTCAAGGCAGCACAGCTAATTCCAGACACCTGGGCAGGACCCTGATGGACAACTGGACCACGTGGCTTCTTCCCCCGTGGAGAGCTTTGAGGTCATCTGGGGCAGAGGGTGGGCTTCCCGGACCCGGGGGGCTCCATCTAAGGGAGGCTCCCTGTCAGCGGGGGGGGGGGGGGCAGAGACTNGGGGGGGGGGGGGGGGGGGGGCAGAGACTTGGATCCTGTCATGTGGCCTTTCCTCTTGTGCCGGACCTTGGCCCTTGAAGGAAACGCACTGACCAGGGAGACGGTAGAAGTGGAGTACAGAGCAGGACGAAGAACTGTCTCTGATACTCCAGGGAGTAAATGGCAAGCCGTCTTCCAGGACCGTGTCCAGCTGTTTTAGAGGGCACCTTGTCCTAGAGCTGATCTTTATTAACTTGGCTCTGACCACAATTTCACACTCTTAATTTAAGAGTTGCAGGTCCTTCCACTCTGGGGACCAGGTGGATCAGGGCCCCTAGGAGGGTTCCAGAAATGGGTTTTGGGCGAGGTGATTCTGTTCGGCAGTGGAAAATCCTGACCAATTCTCAAAGCTAAGCCCTAAGTAGCCGGGTGGGCTTTGGCTCAGAGTGTAGAGAGTGAACCAGCCACTGCAGCTTGTAAGTCGTGGCTTAAGTGTGTGTACAAAGTCAGGCAATTATGGCTTGGCGCAAACTGTCAGCCCAGACATTGTTTTCCACTGATGGAGCCGTTTTCCCTCCACCCCCCCAAAGCAGGATTAAGAAGTAGAGATCAAACTGCCGTGAGCGCTGCAATCTTTGGGAGGGGGCCACACTCTCTCGGCCAGCCTCCCCGGGATCTTAGAGAGAGGCCTGCCTTTCAGTTCCTGCTTTGACATTTTCCATCCTGACCCCTTTTTTCTCCTCTTATCTCCCCCAACGCCATTGTCTCCCAAGCATCTATTCAACCGAGCGGAAAGCAGCCACTGCTGACGTGGAGCATAAAACCATCTGCCCAGCCTGGCTCTCCCACACCTGCCACTCCGGGGGAAGGCAGAAGGGACCCCCCCTCAGGATTGAAAGGGTGCTGTGGTGGGGCCCAAGGCAGGAAGGACCCCCAAAGGGGCAGGACGAGGAGCAGAGCAGCACCCCTGTGCTGGGCTGCTCTGGTTGAGTCCTACCAGAACAGAAAACAACTCAGCCGGTCCAACCAGATGGGCTGCGCCCCCCCCCCCAATCCAGCCAGCTTCTGCTGGAGGGGGAAGACTGCTCCCCTATCCTCTTGGCAGTGGAACATGGTTTCACGGGTTATGTAAAAACAACGTCATTTGCCCAGCTTGTTCATTAAGAGTTAAGACTGATTTTAATACAACTCTCCTTACCAGCCTGTTGCTCAATTATTCAGTGCTACAGGGTCTTTTTTTTTTTACACTTTTGATGCATTTATTGGCACGTAGCTGAAAATTACCTTTAAACCGAAAGGAAGGTTATGCATTTTTAAAGTAGCTGAGCAAATAATTGGGAAGGGTATAAATAGCCTCACGGTTAATGGCAACGCTTTGGCTTCTCTGCCGAGTTGCCTTGTCATCCCTCACCCTCCACGGGAGTGAAGTCAGCCCAGCATCAGGCCCGGGAGGCTGCTGGCCTCGGAGCGCTGGGCAACCCGCTGATCCAGAAGCCCCACTGATGCCAATGAGCCCAACTGGAGAGTTGAAGGTTTTCAGCCTTTGAAGTGCACCTGTTTAGCTGTATCTCTTATTTTTCAGGCTTTGCCTCAAGGCAGGAGGTGGGCAAAGTCCGACCCTTGACTGTTTTGATAACCTGTCCCCCCCCACATCCCATTGGGTTACCAGCCAGTGTTTTTCTGGCTGCCTCTGGCAGCTAGCCTCAGTTGGGCCCCTCTCCCAAAATTAAACAGCTTTCCGGAGCAGATGGTCTCACTGATCTGCATTCCTGCATCCCTGCACAATTGATCTCTGCCAGGGGCTGCCAAACCCGGCCTGGCTCTGCCAGCTTTTCCCTCCCGGAGGTGAGGCCGGCTTTCCGCTGCTCCTTCACGGTCCTTTTGCTCTCCCGCCATCCTGGGCTGCTCCGGCCATTAGGAGCCAATGGGGAGGATTGCTAGTCTTCCCTCCGCAAAGCTCCCCAGGTGAAGAGTGATGCTTGAGAAAAACTGGCCCTGCCCAGCTGCAAGAACAGTCAGTCCCCTGCCCGAGAGAACCAGCGGAGACCCTCCCAGCCGGCCGGCAGGTCTCTGCTTCAGGGGTGGGACCCTGTTGGCCATGGGGAGGAGCCACCCTCACCCACCACCCAGGATCAAGGGAGCCCCCCAGCTGCAGCTCCCACAGTAAGTTGGTCTCTGGCGCCCTCTGCTGGTCAGAAAAGGATCTGCGCCCGCTGAGAAACCTCGCGCAGAGCGCCCCACGGACCCCCGCAGTGGCTGTGGCTGGGAAGACCCCACAGCCCAGGACTGAAGGAAGTCCCGACACAAAAGCCGTGGTCAGAAGAGCCATCTTTGAAACCAGCCTTTATTCAGAACCCCGTAAAGGGCGTCCCCTGCAACCCCACTGGGGCCCAAGGCTCCAGTTGATTAACTCACCAAATACAATTAAGGGGAAAAAACCCAGCCCTGAGAGAAACATGCCTGTTACAAGGCGATTTAAAAGCCACCTTTTTCGTTCGGTTTCAAGCCACTGAGCACCTCATTAACGGGGGAACCTGCACCCTCAGCCACCCACAGGCCAGGGAACGCAACAATGCCCTGTTCGGAATATTTCCCAGGAAGCGTTAAAAATTAGAGACAAATCAGAAGAGAGACAGTTAATAGCTCACATTCCCAAAGCAAACTTGCCAGGCCTCGTCAATTGGGGGGGGGGCTAAGAGGAGCTGGTATTGTGGGAAAGCCGCTAAGGAGTGAGTTTAGACCTGGCAGCGTGCAAAAGGTGCAAGGAAGGATTTACACAAGTGTGCCCAAAGACCCCTCTGTTAGCAGTAGAGCCACGTCAACGGCAGGGGAGGGGCTAGGAAGGCCATGGCTACCTGCCGCTCGGCCCCCTGCTGCTTCTGCAGTCCCCACTCCCACAGAGTAGACCTGCCCCCTTCCCAAACTGACCAGGCGAGTCCCACCAGGTCGCCTTGGATGTCCCCTCCAAGTCAAGGCAGGTCCCAGGCGGAGGAAGACTCGGTCTTCATGGCCACCGTCAGCTGCCCGTCAAAGCCTTCTGCGCTTCCACTTTCAGGCCCGGCAGGCTGTGTGCGCTCACGCCAGGCGCCCCAATGACCGTCTCCCAGCACTCAAACCCGCAGAGGGTCAGGTCTCGGATGGCGCCTTCCACTGCCGAAGGAGCGGTGCCTGCCAAGAGACGGTGCCCCCCAGTTAGACACACCAAACAGCAGACTCGGTTACCGAGCGGTTGAGAATGACCAGCACCCAGAAGCAGCAGCCAAAGGAGACCCATAAGCCACTGAAAGCAGCACCTACGGCTGAAAGCCAAAGTGCCCCCAACAGCTGTACTGCAACACATCTGTAGGGCTCCTTCGCTTACACGCTTGATTATGAACTCAACCTACCCACAAAAAACAGAGAATTCAAGAGCAAGAAGGAAGCCTGGGCAAAGGAAGACAAAAGCCAGCTGGGGAGGACTCACCTGGTCTCAGCAAAGTGATGGCGCAACCGCCTCCCCCAGCCCCGGTCAGTTTGCTATGCAGCCCATGGGAGGAAGTGACCTGGCAGACGCGGTCCAGCAGGGAGTGGCCGACCCCGATGCCATTGAGGAGATGCTGGTTGATGTCCACCAAGTCCTGGAAAAAAAAGCAGAGACACGGATGAGAAAAGACGCGTGTAGCTCAAGGAGGGAACAGAACTGAGTGTGCCAAAAAACCTTAGCCTGTTTTTTTTCCTGTTTTAAAAGCGGGGTCCTAGTCCTCATGGTATGAGGACAAAGGAAGGAATAGAGATAAGGGCTTACCTCCAGCCTGGAGTAGTGTTCTTGCAATGGCTCTTCAGTCATTGCCTCAAGAATACCTTCGCATTCCCGAGAAATTGCGTCTATGGAAGTGAGCATCGGCTCCATGATAGTGGGAAACTGCAGGAGGAAAAATGATGGGCCAGGGGAGAGAGAGAGAGAGAAAGAGAGAGAGAGGAACAGCAAAAATAAAAAGCATAAAGAATCTGAAAGAAGTCTTATTAGTATTTAAGCTATCTTGGCAGGGTTATAGGATTTACTTTTTAAAAAACACCTATTAAAGTTAGCAAGAAAGGGACCCTCATGAATGGCCTATTTAGGCAGAGCTGCAAAGAATATTTGGCTAAAATGATGCCCAGAAGGTCAAGGGTCAGAGACCCAAGCAATGCTGTTTTAAAGAACTCTTGGTGACCATCTTAAACACCCTGAAACAGAACACCCGTCTCCTGCTTACTGACACTCCGCCAAGCTGCGCTTCTTATACCGCCCCTCTCCAGATCATTCTCTCCAAACCTTAACGTATTTTGACATATCATCAGCTATAAATTCTGGGCAGTCACAAAGCCTCGGAGAGGAACCAGAAGAAGAGGTACCTTCAGGAGCTTGTCTTTAACCCCGGCAACCAGGATCTTGGTGCTGCGTGGAACTTTAGTGTTAGTCAGTAAAATCCGTAAAGTGGGCACCCTGGAAAGAAAAAGACTCTTAAAAACCAATTCAACAGTCTGCGAATTGCTACGCAATAACTAAGAATGCAGACCCATCAGGCACAGCCAAAGGAGGAAGGTATGGCTTTTATTTTCCCTATAGGACCTGGAGGTTTGCAGCCTGGGAGATGGCTGAGGATTTTGCCTCTTGTCTTTTCCCACAAGCATCTCCACTGCAGGCAGCTGGAATTACAAGCCCCATCGTCCCCCTCCCCAGGATGACTGAAGCACCTGGTAGCCTTCACTTCTGCGAATGCTGCCCAGCCACTGTCGCTCCAGAAAGGGACCGTCGCTAGCTGAGCTTAATCGCCAATTAGAGCCACGTTTTAGTCAGAATTAGCTTGGCGTGTCATAAGCGCTCTCCAAACGACCCAACCAAGGCCCACATTTTCCAACCCAAAATAACTTTGTTTTCTAATAACTGCCAACAGAATAACTGGTGTCTAACATTAGCTGCTAATAGAGCAATTTCACGCCCTGCGAAAGATTCTAATGAAGTCCGATTAGGCCAAGCTGGCGGAAAGTGGGGGGAAGGGGGGGGAGCTGCCGCCGAGGCCTCTCTGGCAATCTCTTTTCTGAGCCCTGGCAACGTTCAGCAGGCAAACTCTCCAATGGGATGCTTGCTTGCCGAAGGCCGCCTTGGCAACGTGGGACCTCAGACCCAGAGTGAGATCCGTGGGCGGCTGCTAGGCTCTGCCCTTCTGCCTGAAGAAATTAATCAGCCTATCAAGGTTTTTCAGTGTTTTTAAATCAAAGCTTTTTAACACATCGATCATTCTGTAGGTCAAAACATTGAAGAAAACTATCTTTTTGTGAAGGAAATACAAGACATACGATCATGCTAAAAAATACAACTCAATCTTAAAAAATGATTTTATAAAGCCACCAATTCTTGTTAAAACTGAACACTGATGCTCAAACGAACCTCACCTTTTCAGTGCAGAGAGTTTTCCTGAAATATACCTCAAGGCTCCACCTAAACGTTTGGGAAAGAAGGAAAAAATAATAATTCCCCGGGAAGTTTCCTCTTTCCATATTCTGCAAAATTGCTCAATTTCACCTGAACTAGCAAGAGGAAAACACCTGGCCATTTATTCCTTTACCACAAACCAAGAGAAAGGAGGCCCTGGGGCCTACAGGAGCCAAAATCCCTTCCTGGAATCATAAGGAACATTTAAGGTGGTTCCCTTCGGCAGCCAGTACAGCACCTAAGAGAGGGGCAACATCCCCTTACTGCGCCTGAGCTAGTTCAGAAATGCAAAAGAAGGAAAGAGAACACCAACCCCATGTGCTCACAGCATTGTCCACTCCAGAAGGATTCCCGTGGATCACTTGCTCTCCTCGGAAGGCCAACCTGTTGATCATGTCCAGCTCCTCCTCGGTCCATCTGGAAGAGCAGAAGAGGCCTCAGTCGAGATCACCCTGTCCCCACCCCCTTTTAGCAGCCCTCCTGGTCCTCCTTTGACCTGCTGCTTCTGGTCCTTTAAACTGGACAGGCTGAAAAATGCACCTGGGTCCCTAGAACTGGAATCCTCTCCTTAAGCCAAATGAAGAGCTTTAAGATGACAAAAAGCTGCCATAACACATGCCTGGTCCTACCTGGACAGGTGGAAACCATTTCCCAGCTCCTCTCTTTCCCACTTCCTACCTAGCTACTTCTTGGCCTTCCTGCAGAGGATAGCTGATGGCGCCGCATCCAGAAAGCAAGGCCCCTGCCAGGCAGACCGAATACGCTGCGCTGGAGCCTAACCCAGCGCCGGTGGGCAGCTCAGACCAGACCAAGATGTCGACAGATGGCAGAACCCTGAAAGATAAGAACACGGCAAAAATTAAGTTTTGCAATTTCACTCCTTACTTTCCTCACACTGAGCAGAATTAAATAGTCTCTGCATGTTTCATGATGAGTCACAACAGGACCACAGAACCGGTCTTTCCTTTGCTTATTTTCTCCTGTGGTTTTTCTAGATGTGCTGCCTTAGAAACAAGTAGTCTGTAAGAAGTGTTATAGGTTGCCCACTCCTAGTTTCCTGAGGTTTTTTTTTAAAATAGATATAATCTGCAGCCTGATTTTAAATTCATGCAATAATAAAACATTATTTTTCCTCTGTTGTCTTTCACTGTCAACCTTAGTTTGCTGTACCCCAATCTATCTTGTACTGCATGTTCTTTAGGATCCCTATTAACAGACATCTACACATTCACTAAACCCTCCTGACATTCCCAGAGGAGGGCAGGGTGGCTCCACACTCTCAATCAACGCCTCCAAATTCTTCATGTGGAAATTGGCAAGACAGGTTTGGCAATCCTGACTGCCAGGAGCAAAAGAGCCACACAGCAAAGGTCAGACCCATAGTCTTACCCATATTTAGATGCCACAGTTAAGTACAAATAAAGAAAGGCTGCAGCAGCTACACTCTGGACTGCTTCGTGTCCGTTATCGCCCCCTGCAAATGTTTTCAGCTTCTCCACTTGTTCAGCGCTGGGCGGCTGCGCTTCAGGTAGTTCAGCTGAGGAGAGAACAAACAGCAGGAAACATCACCTTCTATGCCCGGAAAGGGTTTGAACAACCCTCTCTAATTATTTTAAATGCATCAGGGTAACACCAGTAACAAGTCACAGATCAGTTTCTCTAGGGGCAGAGTTTGACTGATACAATTTTGAAAGCACGCAGCCCGATTGCAAGGTAAAGACAATCAGATGCTCTCATGAAACAGCTGAGAGGCTCTCAGAGGGAGTTAACAGGCCCAGGAGTCAATGGAAAACCTAGCCCTGTGCACTGTTCTCTGGGGCCACAAACCAAAAGCTTTAAGATAAAGCTGATTTTGGGAGCTCCGCGAAGAAAGCGAAACACCGTAGACCGAGGGCAGCAGGAGAGGAGGACGAGAGGCTGCCCCTTGCTGCTTTTCTGGATGCAAACCAGCCCCTTCCCCGGTGGCTGAGGGGCTCCCCCTGGATCCAGGTGGAGGGCAGGAAGGTGGAAGTCCGCAAAGGCGCCTTGGGCCTACCTGAAAGCGCTGCCAGCAGGGGCTGGAGCTCAGCAGCCTCCCAGCTCGATCTGCTCCCGAGGTTAGGCAACTGCAGGGAGAGCTTCCCATCCTGGCGCGGAGTCATCCGAAGGAAAGTTCGCAAGTCCAGGGCAGTCGCCAGAGCCACCTGCGGCCGGGAGCATCAGAGGAAAGCCGCAAGGTGTTAGTCCTCAGTGACCATTCTGGGGCTAATTATTTAACGAATTAAATGAATAATGAACATAAAGTACTGACAAGTACGAGAAGGCCCTCCTCCTCCCTCGGCTGGCTGACCGCCAGAGCCCGGCCTTCCCCGCCCCTTGGGGCGCAGAGCACAAGCCGGCCAGGACCCCGCAGGCGGTGGGGGCCCTCCGGGGAAAGCGCGGCCCTACCTTCCCGTGCACCACGGCATGCTCGCCGTGCAGGATCACCTTCCCCGGGGCGGAAACCACCAGGCTCCGCTTCCACATCGCCTCCCTGCCGAGAGAAACGCGCCGTCCGTCCAAGGGGGGCACAGCGGCCGCCGCCCACCCGCCCCGCCGCTCCACTCGGGGCCCCTGAGCCTCCTCGGCCCGAGGCACTCTACCTTGCCCCCTCGGGGGTGGAGGTGGGGGGGCTTTCCGCGCAATGCATGCTGGGCCGGCGCGGGAGACCCTCACCTGTCCCTGCCGCCGCTCCAGGTGAGGCGAACATTCCGAAGGGGCGTGGCCGCTGCGCCGCCCCCGCCCAATCGGACTATAGTGGCGCCGCCTTTCCTTCCCCCGATTGGCCACTCCCCGCAACATCGCGTCCAATCAAAAGCCGGCGGCGGCTGCGACGGCCGCCGAGAGGGGACAAACTTGGCCGGGCGCTTCGCCCTTGTCCCCCGAGCATGGCTGGCGCGGGCTGGCGGGGCGGGCGAGCCCTCCTGGGGCGAGTGGCGGCCGCCCGCTGCGGGGCGAGGAGCCGGGCAGCCGGTCGAGAGCCGGAGCCCGGGTGAGGAGGCGCGCGGGGTCCGCGGCGAGGTTGCAGCCGGGCGTGCGGCGGGCGCGTTCGCAGCCCGAGACGCGGATCCCGCGAAATGCGTGGGGAGGGTCGGTGGCAGCACGGCCGGGGTGGGTGGGTGATGGGTGGGAAGGACTTTGCGGGACCCCCAAGACGGGCCGCCCTTCTCCCCTGAGATCGCTGCCTTCTTCCCCCGCCCCGTCTTCCCTCTCCCGCAGGCCGGATTCCCAGCCCGGGAAAAGCAGCGGAGCCCCCAAGATCTACACCAAGACGGGAGACAAAGGTAGCCCCCCAACCCGCGATTGCCCAATAATTAAGCAGGAGGCCCCCCCGGCCTTAATAAGCCCCGGGGCCTCCCGTTCTCAGCCGACTCCCCACTTTCTGTCTTTTGTTGGATTTAAAGGGTTTTCCAGCACCTTCACCGGGGAGAGGAGAGCCAAAGATGATCAGGTCTTCGATGCTTTGGGAACCCTGGATGAACTGAGTTCGGCTATAGGGTAACTGCAAGACTGATTTGAGCCTTTATGCCAAAATATTTCAGATAAAGGTGTTGCCTCCTTCTACTCCCATCAAGTATTCTTGGCCAGCAATTGGGGCTTTGCACTTTAGGCAGGAGCAGGCAACATTTGGCTTTGAATTAGAAATGCAAATCTTGCAAAGAAATAATCTAAAAGTAACCGGCATTCTCGGAACACACCAGCTCTATAGATTGTTTTTAAAAAAATGTGAGAGTTCCATAGATTTGAGACTGGCTTAATAGTTCTTGCATATTACTAAAGGTAAACCTTTTCCATGGCGGAGGGGGGAGTCACAACTGGAGACCGAGTCCATTTTTATTTTTTGCTGCAGCTTAAGTGCTGAATTTGGCAGCGAAAGTGGCCACGCGTTTGTGGAAGAACTTCACAAGGTGAGAAATAAACCGGCTCTGCTCTAGTTGGCTGTGTAAAACCTCTTAGAAATCATCCTTTTTATCTGGGTCAAGCTGTTAGTCCTCTCTTATTCTGAGAGGCGCATAACCAGAGGCCTGCCTTCCAGGTGATGGCACCTTTCTTTGCTCCAAATGTGTTGTTGTCTTGACACTTCCCCTCTTAGGTCCAGTGTGTGCTGCAAGATGCCGGCTCTAATGTGGCAACGCCCATCTCTTCAGCCAGGGAGTCTCACATAAGTAAGTAGGACTCTGCGAAGCTGGGGGTTTGTAAGGAAGAGGCTTTTCAAACGAGTTGCCTCTCCTTTCTGCTGAGGGGTGAAAGCTAGACAACTCCTGTGGGATGTTTCATTGATTGCACTGACAGCCCACTTTTCTTCCTTGAAATTCAGAGGCTTGCAGGGTCCCCGGGTGAGGGCAGCCTGCTTTTGATTTGACACCTTGGAGTCAGGCTTGGCAGATAAATGCAGGACTCTCCGTGGGAGAGGGGAAAACGTCCTGGACATGTTCCAAGGGGCTTGAGGCTTTGCCAAGGCCTTCAGCCAGTGGCTTTCCTCCAGGCCCACCTTGTGTGACTGGCCTCCTCCTCCTCCTCCTCTTCAGGGCGAACATCCTTCAGTGAGAAACCTGTGCTGGAGTTGGAAAGCTGGATAGACAAATACTCAGATCAGCTTCCACCGCTCACGTCCTTCATTTTACCGGTAAGATCCTTGTGTGCTTTTCCATGCCTTCAGTCCCGGAGTCAGGATATAATCACTGGACTTAGGCCTCTAGAAACCCTTAGAGTTTTCCCCTGCCAGGATCACCCTGCCTTTGCATCCTACATAAAAATAAAAAAAGGACAGGCAGCCACAGGGGTCTTCCTTAGTGAGCCACTAAACCCCATGATCTTGGGCCAAGCAAATAGACTTTTGTGCATCTTGTGCTTGTATCGTTTCAGTCTGGTGGAAAAAGCAGCGCTGTGCTCCATCTCTCCCGAGCCGTGTGTCGCAGAGCCGAGAGGCGGTAAGGGACGGGTCTGTTCTGTCGGCAAGACCCTGGAGGCAGGTTTTAGAGTAAAGGCACATGGGAAGCATCTAAAAAGTGCTTCAGGAGACCCTGGCTGGATTTGTGGGTTTAGAATTAATGCCGCCATGGGAGAGACAGAGGAAGCCATCACCTAAATTGTCACCGTCCAAGCAAAACTCACAAATTAAGACACCTGTGTTTGAGGTAGGGCAGGCACAGAGTTGTGTCAGCAGGATTCCTGATCTGGACGGTCACTAAAGTTTTCCTTTTGTAAACGTCGGTTGATTTGTGTTATCATGACGTTTGGGCCTTTTGTCTCCTTATGCCTTCACAGTGTCGTTCCTTTGGTGAAAGCGGGAGAAGCGGATGCAAACGTGGCCAAGTATTTAAACAGGTAACTTGGATCTCTTGTGTTTAAAGAGGCAAACGAGGCCCGCTGCCCACAGATGGAGGGTGATTCTTTTCTTCCTTGTATCCAGGCTGAGCGACTATCTGTTCGTCTTGGCCCGTTTCGCTGCAAAGCAGGAAGGGAAGAAGGAGAAAATCTACAGACGGATGGAACCCCAAGACTAAGCTCACCAATGCACGAGGTGTACAACGTTTGAACTAACAAGACAAGATGAAGTGTAAAACGCCGGAAATTTGAAATGCTCAGATCTCCACCTGAAATGCCAACAGAAACCCACAGAAATTCAGGTTTCTGACCACGTTATTGGGAGTCCAGCTTGCGTACGTGAATTCAGAGCAACTGTGATGCCTGAAGGTGCCTTTGTTGCTTCTTGGAACACTGAAGGGAACTGAGGCAGGCGGTTTAGTTCAGTCCCGCTGGCTCCAGGGTCTGGATTTCTTCCCTCAGCCAAGCCCACCGTCACATCTCGTCAACAGTCTTGAAAAGCGCAACTTTTGAGAGAGGGACACTGTCGGCAAACGCTGTGCCAGAATTGAGCCTGACGCCAAGCTCTTTCAGCGGCACATGGCTTCCGTTCCCTGCCAGTCATGCATTTTGGAAAAAGAAAAGCGACCGCATTCAACCAATTTTTCAACTTTTATTTCTTGTATTCCTGAAATTTCCAGTGCGAAGAATGTGCTGTAACTAAAAAAAAATACTAAGTGATAAAAGAACAAAATAATTTATTGATTTCCTATGCCAAAAGTCTCTCCTCGGAAAACAGGCCTGCAGGGCAGCGCTGGGGAGAGGAGAAAACCGACTGCTTCTGAGGTTCCTGCTGAAGGACCTCCAGGTGACACAAACACCCAGACAATCCGTGGGGGTCTCTGCGTTAGAAAGCCCCCGTTTGCGCCCCGAAGGCTGTGGGAAGCAATGTGCAGCTGCTGCCAGGCTTGTTGGGACTGCCCACTCCTACATTCCAGTGGGTGGGAGGGCACCAGAAGTGGAGAGGCCGCACCCCCTCCTCCCAAGAGGGCAATTTGAAACAGCTCTCTGGGCAGCCTGCAGCAGCGGCCACAGGTCAACACCCCACAATCCCTAATGGGAAATCAGGAAGGAAACGGGGTGAGCCAGCATCCAAGAACAGCTCTTTACTTATGAACCTGTTTGGGCCCAGCCCTTAATTGGGGGGGGGGAGAGAGGTGTTTCAAGGCAGTAGCACTGTTCTGAAATTTAAAAAAAACTGGACTTAATAAAAGCAACATTCCCAGTCCTGTTTTAGTTTGTTACAAACCAACTCTTCTTCATATTTCACAACATTTGTGCAAAAGGGTGACACGCTTGAGATTTATAATGTCTTTTGCACAAGCAGTACAGCTACCTGGGAGCAGGGCCATAATTAGGTCCTGGACCTGCTGAGCTGCAGACCCCGGTGGGAAATCGCCACTTAATATATAGCTGGACTGGAAGATGTTTTCCTATGGACAGATCCATCCAATTTATTTTAAAAGATAGAAAAACACTGGGTAGCCTTTCTTGATCAGCTTGTTATGTTTGTTCAAAATACTCATGTGTACATACACACAGGCACACGCCCTCCTGGGGAGGACCAGTGCAACCAGATCCACAGGCAGCAGAACCTCCCCAGGCTCCAAGGTCATTCTGTGGGGGTTGGGAGACTTCAAAAGGACGACAGAACCACCTGCCCCAGAGCGACAAACGGCTGGTGCAAACACCTGCTTCAGTCTAGACTAGGGCTCTCCAAAGTTGGCAACATTTAAGGCTTGTGGACTTCAACTCCCAGAATTCCCCAGCCAGCTATGCTATGCTGGAGATTTCTGGGAGTTGCACAAGTCTTAAACGTTGCCAACTTGGGAGCCCCCCTGGTCTACACCCATCTGCAGCCACATGCAATTAGTGCTTCCTTTAACAAGCAGCCAAACTAAATTTCAAAAGAACAAGGTCCCTGAGAGAACCGACACAGGACCGCCCTGGTCTGCCCTACAGATGCCCCCTCGCCTCTGCAGACCTGCCAGTTCTTGGGGCCTAAAGGGTCAGAGGGACCCCACTGATCGCCCCCTCCCCCTCAGCCCGAGTGCACCCGAGCACCTTCTGGGCCAGGCCTTCCCACAGGGAGGCTGGTCAAAGGACCCTCTTGGTACCCAAGCAGTCTCTCTTGGTTCACAAGGGAGACCCCCTGACCTGTGTCTTGGTCACCGACGGCTGACCGGTGGATTCCAGCCCTGCGACTAGAGAGCCTGCATAAAGGGAGAGCTGTGTCAGGAAGCTGGAAACGGTTACCTGTTCCTTGTTGGGGAGGGCCCGGGGGCCTTTGGAGAAAAGTTGCTTCAAAGCCAAACTAGTTTGGCCAGCAGTTCAAGATAACAAAACTGGGCTGAACAAGGTCTCCCACTTTCGGGTCAAGAGGTAAAAGCAGCCTTGCACGATCAGCGAGGAACAGATTCCAACTCAAATCTCTCCTCTGATCAAGCCAGGCCTCGGATGCCACGGACAGAGCCCGGCCCAGGTGGCTCCTTACGAGAGTGCCCTGGAAGGGTTTGGCCAGAGCCTGCCCAGGGCAGTTGGGAAGTTTGACCAGGACAGACGGGAGGGTCTCAGCAATGCAGGGGAAAAGAGCAAGATGGCAGGAACAGCCGCCCAGCCCCCCGCAACAGTCTGGGTGGCCCTTAACGCGAGGGACCCCCTGCCCAGCCCTCCAGGGACCCCCTGCCCGCAACGGGTAACTGCACAAGGTTTGCAGGCAAGGCTACGTTTAATGGCAGGCCAGCTGCGGTCTCAGAGGAGTTAAGCAACGCTGGAGGCAGCTCCTTGTCTACCTGGGCACGGTCCCGGAGTTCCCAGGGCCCCGGGAAGGCGCTGCTCGTCTGGCCAGCCGGTCCCGGTCTCTTCTCTCCCGCCAGGGCTGCTACGAGAGCTCAAAGCCCGTGTTCATGCTGATGGCGTAGCGCAGCTTCTCCCTCAGGACGCTCTTCTTGCTGTAGTTGGGCAGCTTCAGGAGGTTGAAACAGGTGGAGGAAGTGGGCAGGCGCCCCCCCGGCTCCTTCTTCCGGATGGTGAAGAAGCCCCGCAGAACGCTGCCCAGGGTGTCCCCCGTGTCCTGAGAGAGGCAGAAGGGGGGGGACCTTACCAGCCAAAGACGCTGAACCCCAATCCCACGAGCAGAGTGCAACATGGCAGACCAGCCAGGCTCCTCCAGGAATGCCGGCAGCCCTTCCTCCCCCAGGGCCAGGCTGCCCAGGGGCTCTGGATTTGCCCCACAGAACACCCGCTTGCTGCATTTTGCCCAGGAATGCCAGCCCGGGAGGCACCGTCCCTGCCCTGCCACCAGCCACACACACCTGGTCGTCCGACACTTCCACGCACCGGATGGAGAAGGGGGGCTTGAGGTAGACGAAGCCCAGGAGTGGCGGCCGGGAGCAACTGGTAACAAACTGAGAGACAACAGAGCAATGAAGGGGTGTCTAAGGGTGGGCAGTTGCCCCCGTGAGCTGAAGGGGCTTCGCCAAAGGGCCTCTGGGGGTGGGGCACAGCAATGTCGCTGGAGAAGAAGGCTGCTCCACAGATTCCGCCCAGGGGTGAGACCGTAGATCTTAGTCTGGAGACGAATGCTGCCTCCGCCGCCACCGTCCGGTTCCCTCGGCCTTTCTTACGAGGAGGCAGCCAGGACCGGAGCTCTTCCTGCTCGCTGCACCGGTGGAGGCAGAGCCCCGGGTGTGCCTTTACCTTGAGAAACATGGCTCTTTCCTCGGGGCTGAAGTCGTGGGCAAGGATGTCCCAGAGCCAGAGGATGACCCTGTGGCTGCCATGGAAGCCCCCGTAGTAGACGGTGTGTTTCCTAGAAGACAAGCGAGAGGGAACCAAACATGTCAGGCGGGGAAGAATCCCCGGCTTCCCGTCCCCCCACCCGAAAGGGCCAGAGACCCCTCCTGCAGCTCCCTCTCCTGCTGGGACTGGACACGGCCCAGCACCTCCCAGACACGCTCCCGGCCTGCCTCCGAGGATGAGGCTTCCAGGCTACGAGGAAAACCAGACTGGACGGCTGGCCTTTTCTCATCCCAAGAATGGCAGCTTCTTAACTCTTTCACCTCCCTAACGAAAAGGGGCCTCCGTGGGCTGCTCGGGCAACCCAAGTGACCCAGGGCGGACCGGCAGGCCCAGCCCGGCCCCTGCCTTACTTCAAGTCCTCCAGGTCGATCTCGGCATTGTCTCCAGATATCAACCGCTGCAACTCAGGTGCGGAGAAGACGCGGATCCACTCGGGCTTGATGATGGACCGGAACCCGCTGATGAAAGCGGCCGTCTGGTTCTTGATCTGGGTGTGCATGCGGAAGTGGGCCATCAGGTGGATGTAGCTGATCCTGGCCAGAGGGAGGAATCCAACGGGGAGCAAAGCTGAGCCCTGGGCTCCGGCCTCACTTCCCCTCCCCCCCCAGAGAGGCCTTTCCGAAGCCCCTTTGGGGGGGGCGAAGGTCAAAACAAGCAAGGCTGGGCCGTGAGGGCAAGCACAGTCAGGCTTACTTGTTCTCGTTGGTCACGGGGATGGTCTTTCCTCCTGGAATGAGTTCGTGGCACACAAGCTGGAAAAGCAAAAAATTGGAGAGGAGGAGGAGGAGGAAGGAAAGAGGTTAGCCCTTACTGCAGGAATGGGGACGGGACAAGGGAGCAGCCGACAGCCTTTCACAAGCGGGTGCCTCTCGAGGGGCCCCTGAGCCTACCTGGCCCATCACGTCTTCATCGTAGGAGAGGGTTAGGCCCAAGTCGCTGGTGTCTCCTTCGTAGCGCTGCAAAAGGACGAGAAAGCAGCTGCGTTGCTAAGGAGTGCCGGAAGATGCTTCACCAGAACCTGCCCGACACGCAGGCTGGTTTAGTCTCAAAAAATCCTGCCAAGTCCAGAGAGAGGCAAACTCTGCTGCTTGCAGAACCCCCGGCACACCCGAACACCTCCTGGGCGTCCCTTGCTGCACCCCGTCGTGTGCGATGAGGAACAACCAGGGGCTTTGCTGGGTGTTCCCTGCAGAAGCTGCCCCGGGAGCCAAGGCAGGCCACGTGAATTGGGAGCGAACCTTGATGGAGGTCAGGTTCTTATAGAACTCGGAGTCCAAGGAGGGAAGCTCGTCCACCGAGCTGTAGAAGACGCTGTGGTGATGGCCAAGCAACTGGCTCAGGAAGAAGGAGGCAAAGGGAACGTCCACCACAATTCCCTGGAAGAGGCCAACAGAGGAGAACATTTGCAGCTCAGGGCTGAAAGGAGCAACTGCCCAACTAGCTGCCTCATCGCCAGCACCGGCAGCACTTCCTAGTCTGGCTAATGAAACGCCTGCAAGAAAACCAGCAAGCGCAGAGAGCGCCAGGGACCCCTCCCTAGGAGACGGGAGGGAGGGAGGAAAGGCTGAGGGAGAACTGCAGAGCCACCAGCATCCCCCCCCCTTCCCCAAGGCAGCCCGCGTGCCCTTCTTCCCCGGCCTCATCTTCACCCCACTGGTTTGGGTGAGCAGGGCTGCAGCTGTGATCCAGAAAGACCCACCGGTTGTGAAGCTTGGCCTACCTCATAAACAGCTTTTCCAAGCATCTTCCCGACAAACTCAAAGAGCTGCAGGAAGTTCTCGTGGATGTAAGCGGTGGGGGACGGGTACAGCCTCTCGTCCCCGCTGGTGGTCTGTGCCGGAAGAGAGCGGGGGAGCTGAGAAGCTGAAGCCAGGGTCCCCCCGGGTCATCCCCAAGTCCCAGCCCCGGAGCGGCTACCTTGAAGAGGTTGAGCGCTGGGTCAAAGACCTTCTTGATGATCTCCTCCAAGAACTCCTTGAAGACGCCGTCCTGGTCGATGCCCGCTTCGTCCATGCCCAGGTCGTTCACAAACTTCACCCGGATGACGCCCTTCATGGCGTTCTGGGAGAGCTGGCGCAGCTGCTCGTAGCCGTCCTGGGGGAGGCAAGAGGGTCTCCGGGATCAGGAGGCGAAGGGAAGATGCCTCCGCCTTGAAGCGCTCCAGGGCCGCCGGCTCCGCTCTCACCTCCAGCATGCGGGACCGACGGATCGTGATGTGGGTGACGTGAGGCGACGCAGAGCTGGTCTCCACCAAGCCCAGCTGCTCTTTCTCTTTGGTGACCATATTCCGGAAGAGAAGAACCCGCTAAATGTTGGGGGAAAGAACCGGGTTGAGCCCACGAGCAGAGCCCTCCCAAGGGCCGCGGGGCTTCCTGCCTTGGTCTCACTCCTACTGAACCGCATCTGGACCGGAGTCTGCTTCAGGGTCCGGGCCTTCCCACCACTCAGCCCTGGCCTGTCACCTCCCGCAGCTCCTCGCCCTCCCCCCCGTCCCCCCCCCGGGGGTCAGCTTCCACTCACATTTTTGTGGGGGACGACGTGAGGGATGTACTGCAGGACCAGCTGGGCTCGCTTGCGATCTTTGTCGAGCTCCTGGAACAGCAAGTTGGGCTTGAGGTCCCTAAACAACGCAACACACGCACACACACCGCACAGAAAAATCAGCAGGAGGTGCAGAGACGGCGCTGACCTTCAGCAACTAATTGGTGGGCAACAAAAGTGCCAGCCCAGGCCGGCACCAGCGCCCCCCGGCGGGGGGAAGGAGGGAACCCGGCAAGGGAGCAGCTCTTACTTGCGCAGCCAGTGTTCTTCGGGAGCAAAACGCCGCCGGCAGTCCCTCTCGTAGAGGACCATCAGCCAGCTGTGGACCGAGTGGAAGAGCTCCAGGGTTTCCCCCTTCGCATTCTCTGCGGCCAAGAGAAAGCCAGCCTCAGAGAGAAGGCTCCCCGGCTCCCCCAAACACAACAGCCCTGCAAAGGAGGAGGAGGAAGAGGGCCGTTGCTGCCCCCCAAGGGACCTACCCAAAATCCCGTCCCAGATCATCTTAAAGACAAAGGAGTTCAGGAAAGAGGAGATCGTAACCAGCTCTTCCAGCTTGAAGGAGATCTGCTCTTCGTAGACTTCAATGTCGTCAAGTATCCTGGGGGGGGTGGGGGAGGGGGAGAGAGGGGGAAGGAAAAAGGCTGCATTTTCATCCACGCAGGGGGAGGCCAGCCCCCCCTCCGGGCCCCTCTTCCCCCCAGCCTACGTGATCAGATGGCGCGAGCAGTCGCAGAAGAGCATCAGCATGGCCAGCAGACGCTTGGACTCCTCCGTGTGGTTGTTCAAGCACTCCAGGAAGACCTTCAGGCCCCCCTGGGGGCCCAGCTCACAGATGAGGGCCCAGAGCTTGGGCAGGAGGTCGTCCAGGTAGGTGAGGCCTGGGAGGGAACGGACAGCCAGACCAGGAGGGGGGGGGAGGAGATTTTCAGCCACTTTTGCTTCTCTGGATAACCGGACGGAGCACCTGACAGTGACCCCCCAGCAGCTCCCCCCCCCCAAAAACCCCCACCTGTGAGGATCTGCAGCCGGATCTGCGTCAAGGTGGTCAGGGCCATCTGGTACAGGACGCAGATGCTGCACACCTTCTGCACCTCCGCCGAATCCACCCTTTTGCCGCCGATGGGCTTCAGGATGTTGCGGACGGAGGTCGATTTCTGGAAGGCGCGTCTGAAGAGACCTGGCGGGAGACGGAGACGCAAGGAAGGTGGGACCCACCCTGAGGGAAGCTTGAGAGAAGCTGCTCCTTGCCCGAGTTCAGAGGTAGCAGCAAGTCACTTTAAGATGGGTGGAGTTCAACTCCCAGAATTCCTCAGCTGGGGAATTCTGGGAACTGAAGCCCACAAATACCGACTGGGGCATTCTTCAGCTTGCAGAGTTTGGGAATCACTGACCCAGGGACCCCTGGGGAATGCTGGGGGGGGGGGAAGGGTCCCCGTCACTACTTACTCTTCACGGGCAGGCTGCTTTGTGGGGAGGAGGCTGGCGGGTGCTGGCGAGCAGCTTCTTGGCTCTCCAGTAGCTTTTTGCTGAGCACGTCGCTGAAGAGGATCCGGATCATGTGGGCCCCCCAGAGGTGCTGAAGCTGCTTGGTGAGCAAAGGCATCGACTCGTTCAGGCTGGGGGGAGAGAGGCGGGGAGGAGCAAGGGAGCGGCCGCGGTTGGGCACCCGGAGGGGCAAACCCGGTGCCTCCAGCAGGCCTCCGGTTCAGAAAAGCAAGGAGGGACCCCAAGACAGCAGGTTCCGATGAACAAGGGTGTGCCAGGGGTGCTTACCCATAATCCACCGTCTGGGAGAACCAGCCAAGGACCGGGTGCCAGTGGGTGAGGTTGGACTTCTTCTGTGAGACGTACTTCTGGCAGTAGCAGAGCGTCTGCGTCAGGACGCTCACAAAGTGGGGGGTCTCCTCCTGCAGCACCTTCTCATTCAGCGAGCCCAAGTAGATGAGGTTGCCTGGGAAACAACCGCAGCTGAGCATTCAAAGCAGCCCCAATCCCCACCCCGACCCCAACCCCTGCAACAGCTGGGAGACGTCTTGCAGTGACCGAGGATCACAAATATGGCGTGAAAAATGATGCTGGTGGCCAGATGCTGCCTGGCGCATAGACAGAGGGAGGAAACTCTTTTGAGGGCAACCTGGCCTCCCGAATGCCTAGAGCCCCCCCTCCCTACTCTGCAGGGCAGGGTGCAAACTCTGGCCTCACGTCCCCTGGGGGGGTCTTACCCAGAAGGCAGAGCGTGTGGCTTCCTTCCAGACACACACAGACGTCTCTGCATTGCTCTTCCCGGCTCAAGAACAACAGGAACCTGCGCAGGAGATCCTGGGATTCCATCACTGCCAGGCGCTGAAAGGAAAGCAGACTTTCACCCGAGGAGCAAGCTGATCTCTCCAGATCTTTTAGAATTAAAGTTTAGTCTCTTTGTTTGGCTCTGGCCAAGAAAGGGAAAGAAACAGATTTCCTTAAGATTTCCTGTCAGCTTTTCTCGACAGCACTCTGCAAGCAACTGACCCCTTTCTCCCTCATTCTTACACCTCCTGAAAACCCCCAGCCCTGATTCACAGGGATAAGATCAAGGATGAGCCATCTGGCAAAAAGGAGACGGCCGGAACAAGTCTGTAGGGCCGGGTTTCTCAGCCTTGGCAACTAACTCTTAAGACACATGGACGTCATCTCCCAAACTCTCTGCTGGCTGGGGAGTTTGGGAGTTGAAGTCCACACGTCTGAAGAGTTAGTGGCCAAGGCTGAGAAACCTACAGAGGGTGCAGGACAACCAGGCTTTCATTCTGGAATTCTAGAAGGAAGCTTCAAACCCGTCCCCTCCTCTTTCCTTCTCGCCTACCTCCGGTGTCAGTGTTGCAAGATGGCTCGTGATGGCTGGCACGGACATGATGTGGATCAAAAAGGATCGCAAGAGATTGTCAGAAAACTGAGCCGCAACCACCGGGCTGGGGGAGAGAAAAACATCACAAGGGTTTCGAGAAGTCCAGAGCGCCCCCACGCTCTCCTTAAAGGGCTCCTGACCCAGCTAGTTGTCTCACCGCAGTGCAAGAGAAAAAGCCGCTGTTAAGGTGCCTTTGGAAAAGGCAGGTTGAGACCTTGCCAAACCGTTTGTCAGCAAAATCTGGAAAATAAAAAGTTGAATAGCATTTAAGGGTCAAGAGCAGGGGTCTCCAACCTCAGGAACTTTAAGACTTGTGGACTTCAACTCCCAGAATTCCCCAGCTGGCTGGAGACCCCTGTTCTGAATGAATGAATGAATGACAGCTAGGCGTCACAAACTAGAGATGAGCAGATGGAAAAATCCCCATAAAGCTCTTTCCAACTTTTCCCAGTGAGGAGATTCAAACAGAGGAACTTACAGCAAAGGCAACCAGACACCAACAAACCTGGAGCACAGAGTAAAACCCTTTCTGGTTGAGATGTCCCATGATATTTGCACAGATGTGATTCATGGCGTGGCGCAGGGCTTCTCCTGCAAAAAGACCCAGAGAGAAAGACTCTATAACTCAGCTTCCCTTTGCGGCCAGGCAAAGTGGCGTTTTGGGGGCAAACAAAGCAGCATCTAGAGGCAGAATTCTGCAAACGCACCTTTTCCCTGCAGGATTTTCCAGGTAGAGGTGTCTGTAAAAGTCACCAGCATCGTGAGGTGCAAATTTACCAGTTTTGAATCTTGCAAGATGTCTGGCTAGAAAAATGAACCCCCAGAAAGTTTAAAAGGAAACATACTGCAAAGCTAAGAGCAGGGGAAAAATACCCCTAAAAAAATCCCTGCCACAGAAATTGGACCAGTCTGTACCTTGAGCAGCTTCAGAAATTCACAGCAAATCCATAGCACATCCTTCACTTGCTGGATCCATAGGAGAGTCAGCTCCTTAGAGAGTGCAAGGGATACGTACCACACCTGCAAAACGAAAGAGCCACAAGAGTAACTTGGCCCATTGGGAGGGAAAGTTCCCCCCTCCTTTCACGGGATTGAGAGGTCAAAGGGCAAAATGCTGCAATCCTGCAATTCAGAAGAACTTTCTCTCTTTGAAGCCACTGAGGCGAAAAAATGTCTCAAAACAGCCACAAACAGTCCCGGGAAAAGCTGTAGCTGTGGTTTCGCCACTGAAACGGTTCCTCGCGTCTCTTTTGGTTTTGGCAAAATAAATAGCCAAACGCACAGTTGCACTCTCATCTCGTGAAAAGCGAACCTACTTACTTTAGGATCATTTTCTGCCTCCATGCTGCTAAGGATGCAGCGGCACAGCTTTTCAAATCTCTGCAGAGAGGAAGAAACAGACTCAAGGTGAGATGGCATCAGCCTTTCCCAAACTGCCAGCATCCGCCTTTATTTCTGACTCCCCAGAACTAAATTTAAATGGCTACTGAAACAATGGAAAGCTTCTGACGTTGCTTCCTTCCTTCGCTTGTCCAAGGGCAACCACGAGGGATTCTTCCATCCCAGAACTGGGAGATCAAGGGATCCACCCCCCCCATAAATGCCCCCTCCCAACTAATACCAAGAGTAGCCAAGATTCCAAAAGTCTGCAAAAGAGTCAGAGGCGTTGTACCTCTTTGTCCTGAGGGAGCTTGAAAATAAAGAGCAGCTTTCGGGAGATTTTAAACAGCGAAAGAGCCGTCTTCTTGGCAGGACCACTGGTGTGAAAGAAATTATCCACTTCGCTCCTGGGCCAAAGAGGAGAAGAAACAAGGAAGTCCCAGCAACAGGTGCCTGTAGTGCAGCAGGCAAGGCGTTGAATTTGGACACAGAAACCCAGGAAGCTGCTGGGGTTCTGTATCTTGACGCAGATTACCTCCCAGGCCTCTTGTTCTGGGACTGAAGGATTTCAAGGATGGCAACAGACAATTTTTCCATACGCCCAGATACCTGCCGCAGATAAAGTTTCATTGTAGCCATAGCTATGCACACCTGATTTTCCGCTGCAGCCGACAGCGGCACAGAAACCTTCGGACGAGGGCTTGGATCCGCACCGCAGCCTGCTCACGTTCCTTCTGCTCCCGGCGCTCCTCCCGGGCCTGCCGGGCCTTGTCCAGGAACTCGGCCTTGGACGATTGGGTTGCGCTGAACATTTTGGCCTCTGTGAACAAGGGACCAGGAAGAGAAGACCTGAAGCAGGAGCACCAAAACCTTTGCACATGGGTCCGAGAAAGACCGCTCAGACTGTCTCTGGCAGAAAGGAGGCTCCGGTGTGGGGCTCACCCCAGGCGGGTGTGTTTTGCAGAAGAGCGCGGAGGTCACCCGTAGACAAACATGGTTCACGCTCGCTTCAAACTGCGGTTTCTTCTGGCTGTTGAGGAGAGCAACGAGTTCATGCCCGGCAGCTCCAGATCACATTTCTTGGCCACTTCAGTTGGAGAGGCTGGCAGGCAGGCAGGCAGGAGAGAAGGAGAGAAGGAGGGAGGAAGAGAGAAAGATCAGACGGGATAGGAGGGGGGCCCTGATCGGCCTGCAGAGCAAGGGGTCCCCGGGGGGGGCTCTGGAGGGGCAGCGTCCCAGCTCAAGATGGGGAGGGGTCTCCTAGGGTTCCGCTGGATCACAAGGCCCGGGAGAGGGAGGGAGGGCTGGCGCCGTGGCCCCTTCGGGGGTGCCGAGGCAGGGCAGAGACCCCCCCCCCACACGAGAGGACCCCTCGGCCTCCCCTGCCTCTCCGCGGCCCCGTCCTACCTGGCAGGGGGCGCGTTGGCGGCCAGGCCTGCGGAGGGCGAGGGGGCTCCGGCCGCGCGGCGAGGCTGCTACAGGTCGTGACCCTCGACGGCGCGCCCCCCCATCCCCCGGCCTCCCCCCGCCGAGCGCCCGCGGAACTCTCAGGACCATAGAGCCAGGCCGACGGGTCCACTTCCGGCCGTTGAAGCGGAAGCGCCCTCGGAGGCTGCGGCCCGCCCGGAAACGCGCCCCGCGAGACCGAGTTCCGACCTGCGGAGAAGGAGGGGGCGGGGCCGGGAGAGGCGCCGCCCCCGCGCGCCGCGTCAGCCGCTCCTCGCCCCGCCCAGGAGGACCGTCTGCCCGAGGGGAGGAGGGGGCCTCGCGCGGGGCTGTTCATGGTGAGGAGGGGGCGCCGGCGGGGGGGGGGAAATCCTCGCCCCCTCTCTTTCGGGGGTCTCCCCTCCCCGCGGGGAAGGCGGGCCGCACTTGGCGGGCGGGGTCCCCGGGTGGGGGGGGCAGGGAAGGACTTTGGGGGGCGAATCGCGTCCAGGGAAGGCTGGGCGAACGCAGCGAGGGGTTCCCGGAGGGCATCTAGTCGGTCCCCGCGGGGAAGGGGCGGGAGTCGCTCGCTTTCCTGGGACTTTTCCCCGCGGAGGCCGCCTCGCTCAGCCGGCGCCGCTTCCTTCCGCCTCGGGGCTCGCAGGGGCCGGCGCGGCTTCAGAGAGCCGGGAAGGAAGGGGTGGCAGGCGGGGAGAGGGGGGTCTTCTCGCCCACCGCCTCGCCTCTGCGCCCGGAGGGAAGCTGGACTCGCTTAATGGCCGGCCGGCCGGCCGAGAGATGCGGGGCCCGAAGCGAGGCCGGTGCTGGGAGAGAGGAAGGGGAGGAAAGCGGGGGGGGGGGGGGGCAGAGCCTCAATGGCGGGGGGTGCAGCGGAGGGAGCCGAGACCTTGGACGGCCACTGGCCTGCCTGGGTCTCAAGCCCACCTTAGCCCTGCCGGGTCCCCGGGAGGGCTGCTGTGCCTCGCCCCCTTCCTCTAGGGTGGGGGTCTCCAAGGGGGCCCCTGAAGACTTGTGGGCTTCACCCCCTGGGAGAGAGGCCAGAGGGGCTTCCCCTCCCTCCCCAGCCCCAGACGGGGGGGGGCTTACCCAGCCTGGTCCGCTGCCGCTTTAGGGCTTTGGGCTTGGGGTCACCCTGGGCACCCCGGTCCAGCTGTGTGTGGGGGGGAGCCTCCTGAGCTGCTGGGCCTCCCTGAAGGGGATCTGCTCTTCCAGGAAGAGATGTCCGGAGAGACAGTGGTGAGCACCGCCGTGCCAGCAGCCACGACCCGCACCACGTCCTTCAAAAGCGGCAGTCCCAGCTCCAAGTATGTGAAGCTGAACATCGGCGGCGCCTTGTACTACACCACCATGCAGACGCTGACCAAGCAGGACACCATGTTGAAGGCCATGTTCAGTGGCCGGATGGAGGTCCTCACGGACAGCGAAGGTAAAGCCCTGGGGGGAGGAAAGGGGTCCCAGGAGGGCCAGCTCTGCCAGGGGCGCTTTGGGGCTCAAGTGGCTTCTGGCCACCCTCCAGAACGGCCTTCCCAGGCTTCAGAATTGCTTTGAGACTGCGCTTGCTCCTCAGAGGTCATGCTTCTGTGGCCCCTGCTTCCCCAGGAGACAGAAGCACGCCAGCTGATCCCGTGATACACGTGCTGCCCTTGGCTTCGTGTGCTGACATGTAGTTGTTTGATGAGGAGCCATTCGCACGGTGGCTTTTCCGGCAGGGAGGTCTGCCAATTTCCTTCCCGGTTCTTGTGATTAAACTCTTGCAGTTTCACCTAGATGCAAATGGCCGGAAGGAAAAGCTTCCAAATACTGTTCTGAATTCAACAGATTTTTCAACCGTTTGCATTTGAGGATTTTAAACTAAGAAGAATGAACGTGTTCAAATATCAAAAGGTTACTATAGTTTGACTCAAAAAAAAAAGACTCCTGGTTCCATTGGAATAAAATTCGTAGCTTGCAGAATTGAGCTTAATCAGATTTTAGCTGTAAACCCCTTATTTTAAGACCGCCCTTGCATTCTTCAGCCAGCATTGCCCTTATTTGTCACAGACCAGCGGCCTCCTTACACATTTTTGATCTTCTCCCCTCCCTTGAACATTCTTGTCTCTCTGCCCACAAACAAGTTGAGCTCATGGAAACTTGTGCCCTTGTGTGAGATCTGGCCTCTTCCGAGCTGGCTGCTTTTGAGGCTGCCGGCCACATGATGAAGCTCAGACTTAAAACAACGGCAGCCAGCAAGCCAGCCAGAGATAGGATTAGGGTTAACTTGGATTCTGCATTCCTTCCAATCTTGGCTGTGTTTTCTGTCTCTTCCTAGGCTGGATCCTGATAGACCGCTGTGGCAAGCATTTTGGAACCATTTTAAACTACCTGCGCGATGGTGCCGTGCCCCTCCCGGAGAGCCGGCGGGAGATTGAGGAGCTGCTGGCCGAGGCCAAGTACTACCTGGTCCAAGGCTTGGTGGATGAGTGCCAGGCTGCCCTTCAGGTGAATCCGCCGTGCGTGCTCAGGAGCCGGCCTTCCCCACTCTGCTGCCCCCCTTCCCCGTGGAGCCCTCTGATGGGGAGTGGAGGAGGTTCCCACCTGGAAGGGCTGGAGGGAGGCAGGAGGAACTGCAGCCTTGTGGGTTGGACCCCCTTTCGGTGTTGCTATTGGTGCTTCCAAGGTACTTTCTCCCAACCTTAGCAACTTTAAGATGGGTGGACTTCAACTCTGAGGGAATTCTGGAAGTTGAACTCCACCCATCTTAAAGTTGCTAAGGTTGGGAAACACGGTTCTAAAGAGAAACCTCTGCAACTCCAGAGTCTGTCAAGATTCCTGAGCTTGGCCAGGGAGGACTTGTCCATCTCTAAGTAAGGGCTGGCTTCTGCCCGAGCCTCCTGCTTCCCTTTCAGTCCGTCCTCTTCCTTTCTCAGAACAAGGATGTCTACGAGCCTTTTTGCAAAGTGCCCATCATCACGTCCTCCAAGGAAGAGCAGAAACTCATAGCCACGTCCAACAAGGTAAAAGTCCTCACATTAAGGGAGGGGGGGTTCCGAAGTGGGGGGGGCTCTCCCCCTTCCACCAGATCTTCACGGTGGCCAACTTGGAGGGGGGGAGCAGCTGGTCTCCAGATGTTTACCTCTGCAGTGCCAACCATCCCCTGTAGGGGACCAGCTTGCCCTCAACACCTAGTGGTGGCCCATGGAACTAAAGGCCTGCATCTGTCTTCTGTGTTTTTGCAGCCAGCGGTTAAATTGCTCTACAACCGAAGCAATAACAAATATTCCTACACCAGGTAAAGTGTTTTCAGTACCAAGAAGGAGAGAGTCTGGAGAGGGGGCGAAGGGGGCAGTTACCTCGTTAGGCAGAAGGGAGGGGAGTGAAACAGCCGGGGGGGGGGGAACTGGCTAATTAAGAGCATTGCCCCCATCTCTCCCCCCCAGCAATTCAGATGACAACATGCTGAAAAACATCGAGCTGTTTGACAAACTCTCCCTGCGCTTCAACGGGAGGGTCCTTTTCATCAAAGATGTGCTGGGAGATGAGATTTGCTGCTGGTCGTTTTACGGCCAGGGACGCAAGATTGCGGAAGTGTGCTGCACCTCGATTGTGTACGCCACCGAGAAGAAGCAGACCAAAGTGAGTGGCTGACTCTCTGCCCCCCCCCTCCGCTCAGAAAGGTTCACGCAAGGGCTCTGTCTAACGCCCCCCCCCCTCTCCGTTTGGCATCTCCAGGTTGAATTCCCAGAAGCCCGAATCTACGAAGAGACCTTGAACATCCTGCTCTACGAAGCCCAGGACGGCCGAGGTCCCGACAATGCGCTGCTGGAGGCCACTGGGGGGGCAGCCGGGCGCTCCCACCACCTGGAGGAGGACGAGGAGCGTGAGCGCATCGAGAGGGTCCGCCGGATCCACATCAAGCGCCCCGATGACCGCACTCATCTGCACCAGTGAGCGGCTGCGGTGGGCCGGCCCCTTCCCTCCGGCTCGCAGCCAGGACTGTCCTTTTCTACCGAGAGTATTTTTGGTATCCGATGATGCAGCGCGTTGTACGCAAATAGATTGTCCAGCGTGACCAAGTCCGGGGTGCAGGTCTGGGCTTTGCAGCACTTCTGAATTCCTGTCCTGAGCTTGGAGAAAACTTCTCTATGGGTAGGAACACGCGGCAGCCTCCGTTTGGCTTCGGCCTCTCGGTGGAGTGGGCTCCTTCAGGGTAGACTTCTTAGAAGCCTGGAGGAGCCCTCGTTCCCAGGGAGAAAAGCTGTGGCTAAACCCCTTTCCACCCAAGGAGGGGACGGGGAGAAGGGGAGGTGTTCCATCTCCTGTTACAGGAGGAAAAACAGTGTTAGGACCAGGCAGGAACGTCCCGTTTTCTTCACTTTTCCCCAAGGATGGTGGTTCCCATCTTGCCTTCAGTAGATGCTGCAAAGTGCGCCTGTGGCCTTCTTTCTCACTGCCCCCTCCCCATTCACGAGTCCCACCTTCTGATCCAAGACCAAAGGCTCAATCTGCCAAGCAATGATCTTCTGGCCGTGTCCACGTGTGATTCGGTCTCCTTATTCTGGGACCAGCAGGCTCTCCCCGGCTGTACCGTCTAAATTATAAGCCATTTTGCAGATGGGCCGAATTAAAGCCCTGAGGCCCTGGGAAAATGGTGCCCTGGCAGTGAGACTCCTTAGGCGTCTCCCCTTGGCCCCCTGAAGTTCAGAAGAGGCACTAAAGCACCTTGGATTGGAAAAGGTGCCTAAGGAGGGAGGACAGGCGGCCGTTTCTGCCCAGGGCTTCCATACAGTATGCCACTCTCAGCCTCCCAGCCAGGGACCCCCTCAGCCCCCATGTAGGTGAGAGAGTGCCTGGCCGGCTGGAATCTACAGAATCCATCTTGCTGCACCAGGTGGGGATGAGAAGGCCTTTATTCCTTCATGCTTTAATCGATGTCTGTGGCATCTCTCCGAGCCTTTATTTCACAGCAGAAATCTTATTTGCAATTTGCAGCGTGAGTAGCAGAAAACCCAAAGATTAAGCTGCGACTGGAGATTGGCCGAGTTAAGATGTTCTGCAAAGTGTTTAAGGCTGCAGACCAAAGTCCAGAATTAGCTTATTCCTGTTTCCGTTTAGGAAAAAGAGTGTTTATTTTGTGCGTATCAGAGTTTAGGGAGCTAAACCAGAGTAGCCAAAAAAACAACTGTTGAAAGATGCTGCAAACCAAAATGGCGGCATCACGTTACGTCGTTCAGTGGATCCTTTGCTGCCTGTTAAGGCCCTCCCCGGGATATTTATGTTCCAAAGTTGTGTTTGTTTGTGAGCTGTGGAATTGGAAAATGTCTTTCTGGATGTTTTAGCTCACCCTCTCAAAACCCCAGCGAAGGAAGCCGGCCCAGAGGAAGGGGTGGGGGCGCCCTCGGTTTCCTCTTTGGGCGAGGGAGGGGCTCTTGGTCCAGGCGGGCAGAGAGGGACCATCAGCTCCCAGAAAAGGAACTGCTTGGCTGCTGAGCCTTGAAATGGTCAAGGGGCCCGGTGAGGAAATGTTTTTGGGGTGGGATGACCAGGACCCCAACCCAAGAAAGAGCAGCTCCAAGCTTTCATCTCTTTAGCCTGTGGGTGAGGCATTTGCGTCAGATCAGATTTTAACCACTCTTGACCAGCCCCCCCCCCCAAGCGAGGGATCAGAGTGGACAGGAGTGCCTGCATCTGTCCTAGACTGTCCTTGTGCAATCCTAATTCCCAAAACAATTTTGGCCAAAGGAAAAGTTTGTGTCCCCCCCCCCCCCCAGCAGTGCCTTTGCTTTCTGGCCTCAAGGCAGCCGCGGGTCTTGTGAAGAGCAGCAAACCGGTTATAGAACAAGCCCCCCCCCCACCTGCTTTGACGTGTGAAGTCAAGCCTTGCCTTCTCCGAGCCTTCTTAAAGGAGCCGTGCAGGAATCGGTCTGTGCAGAATCCCTTCCTCCTATCTGTTGACGTGATTTCTTCTGTTTGTGTAAGTGTTTCGCATTTGGCACAGATTTTAAATACGGGAAATAAATTAGACATGTTTCCTATTTCCAGCTTCTCTCGGTGTCCTCACTTAAGACCGTCTTGTCGATGTCATTTTTGAAAGAGGTCAGGGAGCAAAATCACAGTTTTAGCAGGAAGCAAATGCCCCACCACAAGGGAAGTGAGCCACAGCACTGAAGCAGACCCTAAATTCCTTGGGTGGAACAAAGACCAGCAGCCGGCTCCGATCTAAGGGCGGTTCACAAGTGCTGTTGAGTCACTAACACACCCAGCTACGCTTGTGACTGAGGAGTCAGCGTGGATGCAAGCGTCAGAAGAGAAACTACAAAGATTGTGGTGGGAGAGAACGGCAGCATTACTACTAGCTAGTGGAAACCAGAAGCCCCTTTCTCCAAAAACCGGGGGGAGGGGGGTGGTTCTTGTCCTCAGTGTCGCTACACAGCCTGGGCTGCTGAGATGCTTCTGCATGGTTTCCCCCCCCCCCCGCTCCTCCTCTGCCAATGACACTTCAAGGATCTAGCTTGCCCTGCATTTCCCCCCAAGGAGGTCTGTGTGTGGTGACCGATTCTGCAGACCCCCTTCAGCCCTCCGAGGGCCACTGAGAAATGAGGGGGAGGGAGGGAGGTAGCCGCTCTTAGAAACTGGTCTGGCATTTTAAAAAAATGCCTCTGGGCCGAGGTGGCTAGCAGACACGGAGAGGCCAGGCCAGGCCAGGCCAGTGAAAGTTAATTTTCCTTTCACCTTTTTAATTTTTCATAAATACATCACAGGTTGCTAATACAGAGAATAATGTGGGGTCGTCACTCCAGGAACAGAAGTGCCTTGCGGGACTTCTTTCCTCCTCTCGGAGGGAAGAACCTCAGTGTTGCGTTTCACAAATGGGTCCGAGGCTCTCGCCGGCCCCAGTTAACTTTGCAGAGAATTTGGTTGAAGACAGACTCTCACTCAGACCCAGGGCAGAGTTTCATGGCCGGCCTTATTGCTCCTCTCCCAGTCCTGCTTAGAAGCAGCGTTTGGAGTCCTTCATTTTTTATGCTGAGATTCTTTTCCGGAGTTTTGCATTTTAAAACCGTGGCTTGGGGCTGTTTGGTGCAGTTAATGGTTCAGTTATTGCCAACTGGAAGGTTGAAGCGAGCAATCAGTCTCTGCATCTCTTCTGGAAGAGGCTCACTGAGGCTGTCACGGGGTCTAGGATTAAAGGGCAAACTTTGTGCTTTTAAAAAAAGAGGCAAATAACCTCAACTCCAACAGTCTGGCGGCATCAGCCTCTGAGCAGGTTTACGAAGAAGGCTGGGTGAACTCTCCCCAGAGGTGGTGGCGATTTCAGGGACGTTTCTTTTCAGGCAGACAAGAGTAACGGATGGCCCTGGATGTTGGTTTCCCCCATCAGGACTTTATCTTGGTCGACACCTTTGGGGTTTAAACATAAAAGAGTTATTTCTAAATAGCTTCTTTACACTTTGGCGACCTGTAGCCAGCCAGAAAGGTCCTGCAGCCAAAGAAACACATATGAAGAAATGGAGGCTGCTTTTTTTTTTTTTTTAAGAAAGACGTTTTCTTTTTTTAAAAAAAAGCAAACTGCATTAGCTAAATGAATCAGCAGAGGTGGATTGCCTCTGCAGAACCTCCTTCCATCTTTTGAGAAAAAAAACAACCACGATTGGTCAGGGAGGGAAATAATATTCACACTTGGCTGGATGCACCAAAGCACCCTGGGTTTTTGCCCTCCAGAGACTTACAACAGTCAGCTGTCCATTTTTGGCTTTGTAGATGTGAGGCTCCTGCCCGGTGGTGAAAACCATGGTTCCTTCTTTCCCTGGACTGATTTGGAACTGGAGGCTATTACAAAACAGGTAAAAGCCACAGAAATTATTCCAGGGCTCGCTGCCTCTGCCAAGGACCAGGCTCAGCAGCAGAAGACGACCCGGGGCTCATCTGCGGCACCGGGCACGGCTCTGAGTCAAAACAGATCTTGGTGAGAAAACAAACATTTGGAACATTTAAGGAGTTCAGGAGGAAATGATTCAGATTTTAACTGCTGGGTGTTATGAAAGGGAAGCCTTAGAAGATCATTTGCTGTCTCTTCAGCAGATTTTATTCAAAAAAGGCAAGCACCCCAAGACGGCCGCATCAGCCGAAGCAAAGGCAACTGACCTTCCCTGGACCACGGCTACCAGGTCCTGCTTCTTGGCTAACATGCAGAGCTTGGTGACGGCCTCAAAGACATGCCTGCACCACAGGATGGCGTCTCCCTGCAAGGAAGATCCGAGGAGGACTGTCAGTTCTGATCGCCTCCTGAAGCAGGAGGGCCTCCAGAAGGAGCAAATTCCTGTTACCTTTTCCTGCTTGTGGTCTTCTGGAACGTGGAGGACTAAGATGCCGTCGCTGAGGCTGCTGGTGGAAATGCCTGGCACAGAGAAGGGGAGACCACGTAACTCGGATGAAGCAATATTTCTTCAGTCCCACGGGGTCAATTTTACGGAAATGTGGAAGAAGCAGGACCAAATTTCTACTTTTTCTTTTTTTAAAAAAATGTTTCATTAACCAAGCTAATGCTTTCACGCCCCTGATTCTTTTCTGAGGTGCCCTTGGTGACATTGCAAAGATGGAGCTCTACGCTCTTCACCACCACAAATTCTCTGGTTTCCGTCTTTTCCCAACATATTGGAGCCTTCCTGTTCCCGAGGCTCCCCTTTCCAGCCCCCTCCCGCCCACCCCTTAATCTCTTTGTGCATCTATTATTATTATTATTATTTTTTGCAATTGGCCATTCCTTTTTCTGGTCATTGAAAAGCACCTGATTTCATCGGCCTTGCTCCTTTCCAGATATTTATGAGGGTCCTCTGTACCTAGACCAAAGCTCCAAATTAATTTGGTGAGAAATTCTAGTTTCTGCACCGGCTCTTCTAGATCCGGGGCAGCCTGCCTAGGAGCAGAATCAGGACAGGCACAATGTTCTCCCTCCTGTGGGTGTACGAGCGCTTCGCTCCAAAGACACAACGGGGTTGAGGTGGGGGACGAGGACCAGCCGAGGCCAAAGAGCAGTGATTTCAAAGGTTACCTCTGAGGGTGGCGTACTCGATCTTTTGCTTGATCTTGGCCGTCTCCACCACGTAAGCCGCCAGACGGGTCAGGACCAGCAGCCGCTCTCGGGGCTTGAAGCCGTTCCGGTCATATTTTACCACTGGGGTGACATACTGGAAACCAGCACAAGAGACATTTCAGTCAGGGCTGCCAGGAGGGAGCTCCAGAAGAGCGGCAGGGTCTGTCCTGCAGCCTCGGAGGCAGGGAGAGTCGCTCGGAGCTCTTGCACTGCTCACCTGGGGGACGCCCTCCTCTGCCTTACCTGGACCTTCTCGTGGCGGATCATCTGCAGGACCTTCGGGCACAGATCGCTCTCACCTGGGAGCGAAGGGGGCAGAAAGCTCTTTTGAGGCCTTCGAAGAAACTTCTGGCATGCCAGACATGCTTTTATTTTCTACCCTTCGTTATTTCATTTAAGGGTTCTGCTAAAGTGGTCTTACAATACAAAACATACAATTCAGGACCGACATTCGAGTTCCTGAAAGCTACAGAGCAACCTGAAGGTAACTTGAAAGTGAGCTTTTAATAAGGACTTACTTTTCCTGCTAGACCAGATAACAGAAAAACAGAGTTGGAAGGGACCTTGGAGATCTACTAGCCCAACCCCCTGCTCAGGCGGGAGACCCTGGACCATTCCAGATAAATGGCTGCCCAGTCTCTTCTTAAAAGCCTCCAGCGATGGGGCACCCACGACTTCTGGAGGCAAGTCGTTCCACTGATTAGTTGTTCTCACTATCAGGAAATTTCCCTTTAGTTCCAGGTTGCTTCTCCCCTTGATCAGTTTCCACCCGTTACTTCCTGTCCTGCCTTCAGGTCCTTTGGGTTGACCCCCTCAGATGATCCTTGGGGCCCCTTCCAACTCCACCATTCTACGCTACCCCCAAAACTCCCCCCAAATTATATCCAGACAGTCAACAAGGGGGAACCCTTCATTTGAGCCAAGCCAAGTTCTCATTTGGGTCTGCCAACTCTCAGTTACTCACTCAGCCGGCTGTCCACAAAGAGTTCGTTCAGGCTTTCCGCGTAGCCAACTTTCCTCCCAGAGAAGATGGCACTGGCCACAGCTTTTTGCTCCATCTGGTTGGGAGTCAAATAAGAATTTATGTCCTCCTTTATCCCCTCCTGGATGCCAGGAAGACCCTCAACTGAAACTGCATGCTTCTGCATCGGAAGGTCTCATCACCGCCCCACCCTGCTACCTGGGCCTTCTTCTCCGCAGTGATTCCACAACAATATTTCCGGACAAGATTCCTTTTGCAGATTGTCTTCAGAAGAGCAGAGGTCTGTGAGGGAGAAGGGGAGGAGATGGACACAAGAATCAGTCACAGACCCCTGTGGAGCTCCCGGGTTCCGTTCCTGGGACAGCAGACGGTGCTCCAAATCACAATCACCAGTTTTGTACAAGTCAAATATGGATGTAAGTTTAGGAGACCTTCTTACTCTGACTATTCCTCAGCTAACCTCAGAAGAGCTGGCGAGACCCAGCCTCTCCAGAGCGTGCCCTCCCCCTTCCCAGCAGCCTAGAGAGAACCCACCGCCAGACAGGAAGGCCAGAGGCTCCCTCCCTTGACTCTGCAGCAAACTGCCCCTGAACCTGGAGGCTTCCCACAAGCCCCTTCTCACTTGTTGCATGATCTGTGGAGGCTTAAGCCAGCTTTTGTCCAGGACGGTCTTTGGAATGTGATCCCTGAGTTTCATGAGGTAGGCGTACTGCACAAACCTCACAAAGTCCACATTGTCAGAGTTCAGGGGCTCTGTCCGGTGAATGAAGCCTTTTAAGAACCTTCAGAAGGGAGAAAAGCAACATTCAGGAACATCTTTCTTATCTTGTCCAGGTACCTTCCCAGGTGTAGACGTGTGTGTGTGTGTGTGTGTATGTGCACACGCACATCCATGCAAGACAGGGAATAACCAGATGAGCAGGGACCCCTCTGATTGCCCACCAGAGCTGAGAGGCAACGGAAAAGGAGGAAACGTACTTATGGATTGTCTCCACTGCCCACATTCTCTTCTTGGCCCGCCTGCGTGCCAGGACCCCCCTCCAGGCCGCCTCCAACAGGATGGCTGCAAGACAGAAAGAGTCCCCAGCTCACCCAGCAGGCAGAGTTTTCAAAAAGTGTCTCCAGGAACTGAGTTTAGGAATCAGCTCTTGTTGTAAAGTGTTGTGTCTTAACGGTTCTGGTCAAGATCGTTTTCAGTTCCTGCCAACTGACCCTTACCGGCTTGTCTCATCTTCTGGAATTCTCGCTTCCCGAGGCAACCTCTGAATTTGGCTTGTATTCTGGAGACTGAAAGAGAGGGGAAAAAAGCCCCCTGCCCTGAGGACTCTGCCAGGTGAAAGTCGCTTCTCTTTCTTCGGGGAGCCTCTGGGGACTTCCAGTGGGGAAAGGGGGCGCCTCTAAGCCTGACAGTGTAACTCCGCTGTCTTTACCAGCGGTGCCGTCTGACATCACTTCTGACTGGAAACTCCAGGAACAGAATCTGGGACTTTCTAGCCTACTCACTCTTCGAAACTGAATCAAGAATTTTGATTCGTCAAGAGTCTCATTACGTTCTCACGGGACCGGAAGTAGCTCTTAGATATCTTTCCCACCAAAGCGACCTGGTTTCTTCAGTGAGAGAAACCAGAGACTGAGCGTAGGACCATCTTAATGCAAAGGAGACCACCCCAAAATTAACCCTAAATAGACCTGACCATTGGCTTGCAATGCTAAGCCTGGAGATTTGTTTGGCCAAAGCTGCCAAGCCCATCTGCTTCTAGCAATTCTAAGGGAAAAAAGGGACCTGCAAGCCAAAGGGATTCCACAATTTCCACTGCGTTCTCAGAGGAGAGAATTTGCAGAGAAAAGACTTGTCAAAATGTTGTTTCTGGGCATGATCCAAGTACATACTTAGGAGGTGTTTTCTATATTCAAAGGCATCTTCGGTGGCAAACAGCGTTCTCGGGAAACGAATGAAGAGTTTGGTCCTAAATGAGAGAGAGAGAGAAGACGTGTTTTAATGGCGAGTCGTCAGTTGCACGAACTGGTCGCAAACACACAGCAGGCACACAGCTTTTACCTTCCCATCTTGTACTCTTCGGGCTTGTAGCCGATGTGATGGATGAGCTTCTCCACCCCCTTGGCTGCAGGGCCTCGCCACTGGGGCCAGGTATCTGGGCAGAGCGACTTGTATCTAGACTCCGTCGGGAGAAATGGATTTCAAACAGCGGAAAGGGTCGGGCCATAAACACAGAACTTAAGCTAACCTCCGCCTTCTCGATCCGGGTGTCCGCCCAGAATTCGTGATTACGGGCAAAGCTTGTTTAGAGGATGCTAACTTCAAGTCCTCTCCATAAGCCCCATACCAAAGGGACGGGCTGCACAACCACACTGCTCCGTGGGTGAGCTACGCCTTCCTAACACACTACTAGATGAAGGGTGCCAGTCAGATGTCCAATCTCCACCAGAATGTTTGGGGGTTGTGGGGGGGATTTAGATGGCCCCCCTCTTGTGTTCTCAGTTATGACTGAAGCCATGGCAACAAGTGGGGTGTGGGGATGGGGAGGAGTCTCACCGTTGCAGGAAGTGCTCATACTTCCGACGGTAAGCAAAGCCAGCTCGCCTCACCCGAAGGTGCTCCATTAACCCCAGGTATTTCACCTGGTGCCTTATCAAGGAGTCATCGAATTTGTCTGCGCAACAAAAACAGCACCCCGTTCAGGGCACTCTCCCTCTTCCACCACCTCTTAACTAAAACCTACAGGCTTCCCAGGGTCCACCTGGCAATCTCAGCCTCCACCCGGGCCTGTCTCCTCCCTGTTGCCTGAGACCTCACCAGCACTTCCACTTGAGCTCTAATTTCTCCAGGGGGGTGAGAAAGGTTAGCGGCTGTTTTCAGGGCAGCCTAGATTTTGGGCCAAGGACAAATCAACGGAAGCACACGCAGAAAGCGGAGCAGCCGTCCCTTTCCAGCCCAGGGGTCTCCATACCAGGTTCTTTGTCCCCGTTGGGCTTGATGCACCGGATGTAGGAGGGCTCCTTGGACATCAGGATGTCTATCAAACTGGACAGGCTGGTTTTGAACTGAGTGGCCACCTGTGCATGCAAGAAGACCTCAGTCACAGGCAAGCTTACTCAGGCAGTTAAATGATGAAAAGGGGTCCTCAATTGTGTGAAAATGTGTGTTGTATGTACTCTGGACACAGTGTGCTAAAGACCTCTGTGAGCCCATTTTCATGGGCACGTTGTCCCCGATGGTTAATCATGAGCAAGAAATGCAATCTTCCAGCTGAAGGAATTTCTCCTTCCCTAAAAGACGCTACCCAAATTCTACAAAATGCCAGCCTATAGCTTGGCTCCGACATTTCAAGGGCCGAGGAAAGCACTCACCGTCTCGGGCCTCCTCCGGTTGTGTAACTCCGATGGGCGGAAGCATTCTTTCAAGATACCGTTTTTGGAATTACACAGCACCTTGAAACAGGTTAAAGCACAAGGACGCAGAACATGTCACACCCATTTCTTTCCATTTTGAAATTCACCCAGAGCTGCCCACCCACTCTACGAATTCCTGCAACTCTTCCTTTATTTGCAGCTTTTCTACTTCTATTTCCATTCCTTAACTCCAAGGCAAGATAGAAGTCCACCTCAGTTGATCCAAAATACTCTTACCTCTTTGAGGTTCCGGTAAAGCAGATCGTTATTTTTCTCCAAAAATCCTAAGGGCAACAGGAAATAAAGTTAAAACAATGCTAATAAAATTAGGAAAGTGGAAGCTGGGATGATCTTAGCAAAGCCACTGCTGCCCTAAACCAGTGTTTCTCAATCTTGACAACTGAAGTACCTGGACTTCAGCTCCCAGCTGGCTGGGGAATTCTGGGAGTTGAAGTCCACTCATCTGAAAGTTGCCACGTTGAGAAACAAGTCTGAATAGTTAAAACCTTGGGACTGCAGTGCTCCAGTCCCTTCCAAGCCAGTTCCCACGATGGCCTCCCTCTCTTACCCACGGTGCAGTAGGTCACTTCGCCAGCGTAGTGAAGCAAGCGGAAGTCCACCCAGTCGATGGACTTCCGGGTTTTCTGGTCTGCAAGCTTTCGACTACAGAGAGAAACAGAAAAAAAGACAGAAAATTTCTCCCCCCCCCCCCAGAGAGGATTCCACTGGCTGCTGGGCCAGGATCAAACGCGGAAGCCAGGACGGTGGGGCTGAAACTAGAACCTGCTCCAAGAAGGACCAAGGGGAACATCACCTGGGAGGCAACCCCATCCCTCTGGCGTGGCGGGCCCGGCACTTACGTCACAAAATGGGCATGATCTCCTACTTTCTCCTCCAGTTTTTCCAGGAAGCTCAGGTCGGTGGCTTCACCAGGCCGCAAGCATTCTTCATCCTTGGAGAAGAAAGACAGAAGACCATTGCTGGGTCCCCACCTGAGCAATAAATAATGCCTCTGGCTTAAGGTAATGTGCGAACCAGGCTATTCTAACTTGTTCGATGAACCCCGCTGAAAAATCCTGGTCAATGGTTGTGTGTGGGGCACAGCCAATGTGACTGGCTCTTGAATCTAAACCAGGTTTATATTTACAGCTGCCAGCCAGCACATCTGGAGGACTCCTGATCCAGAAAAGTGGACATTGGAAGCATCTCCAAACATCAAAGAAAATTCTTTCAAAGTGTTCCTCATTCCTAGGTCGGCCCCGGGTTCTATAAAACCACCCTGTGGTCCACTTTCCCTTCTCTGCCATTCTACTACAAAAACAGAATTGTAGTTTTGTGAGAATGTGTATGATTGTTTGATAGAAATCCCTAGCTATTTTAAAACTTTTCAGTTCCCAAAATTGCTTTAGAGGGCAAGTTATTTTTGCAGTGGGTAAACTTACTCAAAAATCAATGTTTGCTTACCAGTATGGAAATGATGCCTTTGTGCTTTTCCTCCACGAGGTCGCATATGATCTTGTTATTAAAATAAGGGACCGGTTCCCACTACAATTAGGAGCCAAACATAGGAGGTCAAGGCACCGCAAGGCCGTATTTGGCCAAGTAAAATTCTACTTAAAAGAGCGAGTCCATCTCCACCCGCCTCTGCAGACAGAATTTAGATGAACGCTAGGAAGAAACCCAATTTTCCACAATTTGGGTTGAGAATACACACTGTCTTCACACCAAGAAGGATCCTGGTCTGGTAAAATTTGGCAGGATTTTGTTTGGCTTTAAACATACTGTGAGATCTGCTTGACCAGACTCAGTGATTGGATAAAATGAGTAAATTTATGCATCGTGTAAAAAAAAAAATGCTTCTCCCAAACCATGTATGCTCTGCAAAAGATCATTGACTTTTCTGATCCTTGGAGCACCTCTTGACTCCTACAGGAACATCTAAATTCCAACTTGAGAATCAGGAGGCCCCCTCCCTCCCCCCCCCCCCAGGCAGCCTCCAGAGTGGCTTGACAACTGCAGCTGACATTTTGTCTCTTGCTTTTCTGGTTCCTTTGCGCCTCTCGCCAGCCCTGGGGCTGCCAAGCCTAGTAAGTTCTTGCTTCAGGGAGCCTGGGGGGTGGTGGATGGTTTAAGGGGAAGAAGGGAGGCAGAGCAAGAGCTACTACCTCAATGCCTTCCAGCTCATATTCCTCCTGTTCTGCCTTCAGGGTCATTTCGATCAGCAGCTGGTGGAGTTTCTCATTGCAATAGTTGATACAAAACTGTTCAAAACTTGAACACAGGCACAGAAAAAAGAACAAAAAACAGAAAGTCATTTTAAAGCAGGTGCGTTCTAGGAGTGTTTCTGGACTGAACCACTTTTACCACCCCACAAGCAGAGGAAGGGAGATTACAGGATCAGGGCCTCCTCCTGCTCTTCCTCTTCCTCCAAATTCCGTGTTCTTGTATCGCTTTAGTTCACCTCATTTTTTTAAACACGTAAATCATTTTAAAAAGTGACTTGATCCAGGCTGAATGGAGACCTACCTGTTTGTCTCAAAGACTTCAAAGCCATAAATATCCAGCAGCCCGATCACGGTTTTCCTGCTGAAGTCCTACCAAAGGAAGACAAGTGGTGGGTGGGGGGTCCCGACAGGAGGGTCCTTTGAATCTCTGTGCAGAAATCGGACCCCAGGCACACGACCCCCAAGCAACCCCCGCCAGCCTTCCCAAACCGCCAGGGACTTGAAGAGATGCGGCATTTACACAAGTGAGTATTACAAAAAGCAAAGAACGACCCACCCTGTTGGCTAAAGAACTGTTGACTTTGTTGACCAGCCAAGTAAAGGTCCGCCCGTAGATGGCTTTCGCTACGGCATCCCGAGCGTAAAATGCCAGGTCCACATCTAAGGGGCTTAAAACCTTCAGGGAGAGAGGAAGAAAAGCACAGTGGGCATACATGGGGGAGGGTTTCCTCATTATTGTCTGGCAAAGGAGCAGGGAGAAAGACTGGCACCTCTTCAAACCGGGCCTCAATTTTCCTGTGGGTTAGGGATTCTTGAAGGATGGACAGATGGACGCCCAGAAGCTAGAGAGAGGAGGGAAAAAGACATCACCGGGTGTAGGACGGCAGGCCACCCTAGAAAGGTGTGTGCTATAGTTCAAAACCTGGGGGAGACGGGGGACGCTTTCACATGTACTCCATGCTCAAAGCTACTCCTGTGATGCTGCATTCACACCGCAGGGTGGGGAAGCAGTCCAGGGTGTGTGGCATTGTGGTTGAATATCAACAGGGCAAAATGTTTGCCCGTAAGTGCCCTGTGCCAGTGGCCAGGGTGGGGGAGGCCAATGATTTAAGGACGCCTTGTGCTTTGCACCCTGGGCTGGCCTCCTCCAAATTAATTCAGAGTCACTGGCACCCCCAGCCGGCACCTTGGAGATCCAGTGGAGTTGAGTGCCGTTGGTGATGATGGCGTGGCCGTTGCTGTCTTCTTCAAACTGGATGTTGCCCAGATGCAGGACACTCGCAATTATCCCCAAGAGATTCTGGGAATGAAGACAAAGAACGCTCCAAACTCCAGCACGACTCAATCTCATCACTACGGGAAAGGAGTTGTTTTACATCTCTCTATAAAACTCTCTTTTCCTCTCTGCCGCCTCATAAGGTTCCTACCTCAATATCTCTTGGGGCAAAGTCAATGACCACAAAGGCTTTCTGGACCGTTCTCCAGTCACTTCTGTCATTAATGGAAGACACTTTGGCACAGCCTCCCTGCAGCGGAAGAGAGAAACAGCGTGGCGCCTTTCGCAAAGTCAGGCTGATGCCGGAGGGGGCTCCAGACACCTGGGAATTACAGTCTATAGACACAAAGCTGCACTCCCCTCCCCACCTGGACTAGGTAGCTGTACTTTTGAGGGCTGCCTTCCAGGCCCAGGCCCTCCAGCAGCTCCTCCTCTCCCCCCTCCAGCAGCTGGTAGAAGACGTGGAAGTTGCGTTCCCCAGGGTTCTGGTGCACAACGCGGGACTTTTCAATCAGGTAGCTCAGGATGTGTCCACCGACAGGAGCGCCCTGGAGAGAGCAGAACCAAAGATGCTGACGGGGAGCAAGGGAGCAAAGCAGGCACGTCACACACACCCCAAGCCGAGGGTACCTGGGCATCCCGGCTCTTCCGGGGGAGAGGGGAATGGGGAGGCCGTTTCTCAAGGCCCCTGGGAGATACCGCCAGCTGAGGAAACCCTTAAGCATGAAACCCAGAGCCGAGGCATTTCTCTCCCCCCCCTGGCCTGAAAGAACACTGCTGGCTGATCCTGAGAGCTGTTCTCGGTCCCAGCCTGGCCTCCTTCACAGGGGCGTTGTGGAGATAAAAGCAAAAGGAGGCATGGGTGTCACACTTTTATTTTCTGACAAAAAGAAAGAATATAACCTCTAATAAAAAAAACATAATAAACAAAAGATTCTACAAGGTGGCCACATTTCATTATTCCAGATTAAAGAGTTAAAACTGCGAGGTCTTTTTTTTAACCCCAACAATTTTGTAAGCTTTACCTTAAAATCAAACTGGATGTCCATGTACTTCCCAAACCTGCTTGAATTGTCGTTCCGTAACGTTTTGGCATTTCCAAACGCCTGTGGGATAAACAGAGTTTGGGGATTTAAGAGTGGACGGGGCTTCCTTTCCTCTCCTGTCCCCTTCCTGCCCGGCAGAGGACTTCAGAGGAAGTCCCCCCACCATCAAGACCAACAGCCTGGATCCCCAGGACTTCCTGGGATTGACCAAAAGCCTTTTTCTTTTAAGCCAGCCAGCCCCACATCTCAAACAAAGTTTGCCATTTCAGAAATCAAAGCATCCCTCCACCAGTTGCCAGGGAGAAAATAAGCAAGACAGGGAAGATATTCAAACAACAGTTCAGAAGTTACTGAAGACCTGCTCAGATCAATAGGGAAAAATAAATGACCAAACCCCCACCAACAGACAACATCTTGGCTCAGCTGAATGGTCCTTGCCCAGGACCGGACATTCGGAAAGGCCCGTGCTAGAGGCCCCCTCGTTTTCACCCACCGCTTCCGTGGGATTTTGGGAGAGCCCCCCAACGCCAGCTCTGAGAACCACCCCTGGTCCTCTTGGTACCTCCAGGACAGGATTGGAGAGGAGCAGGCGATCCCGGACAACCTGCAGCTGCTCTGTGGTAGGGCAGGTCATCGCGAAGAACTGGAGGATCTTCTTGGAGGCTTCCGTCTTCCCGGCTCCACTTTCTCCGGAGATCAAGATGAAGTGGTCGTTGTACTCGGTGCACATGAGACGGTAGGTGTTGTCAGCAATGGCGTAGCTGGAAAAGGTGCAAGAAGGACAGAGTGAGGACCTCCCACCCAGAGGGTAAGAATAACACAACTGGGTATTTTCCAGATGGGCCTTCAGTTCCCCAACCAGTACTGGGACTACCTCCCGTGTATAATTATTTGGGGGCTGTCTTTTTGTATTTTAATTCCCTTTAAGTTTGGGTGGCTGGATCGATATGAGCCGAGGATCCCATCTGGGCACAAAAAAGGCCACAGAGCAGGAAATGGCTCGGCATCTTTGCTCACATGTGTGGCGGCAGCTCAAAGAAGTTGACCCCTTTGTATTGTTCCATCTGCTTCATTGTATAGATGTCCAACTCTTTGTAGGGATTCACAGACACGAGAAGAGTGCCGATGTAGGTCTAGGAGGGAGAAGCAAGAGGAATTCAGGCTGGCAATCCCCACGGCCTGCGAGACCTTCAGGACAAAGCGGATGGTGCCCCCCCCAATCCAACGTCAACCCGTATTAGGTGCTCCTCACTCCTGGGAAAATATCTGGAGGATGTGAGTGTCCCACAGAGAGAGGGGCCTTTTCAGGACCAGCCCCATCATCAGGAGGAGGGAGGCCACCCTCAGATGGGCGACACTGAGAGAGGATGGGCAGCAGCCAGGAACGGAGGGCAGACTAACTCTCTGCTCTGGGAGCAAGAGTCACCCTCCCCACCGTCCCCACTTCCTTCCCCAGGGCCAGAGGGAAAGACGGAGGTGTCGCTGGTTGGGCGCACCAGCTGTCCATCAAGGAGAGGGCCACAGCCTCCCATTTTCTCACACCCCTTGCAGACTTGTGTTCTGGCTCTAACTTCTCCCCTGAACCTTCAAAAGGGAGCAGCCCATTTGATCCAGTTCAACCCGTCCGATCTAACATTATTTTAGCACCCTCTTTCCCAGCCCCATGACAAGCAGTAGCCCTGTTCCAAACGGACTGGCAGCTTCGCGTTTAATTACGTAGATGAGGTTCTCCCGGTATCGCTTGCGCAGGTTGTCCAGGAAAGCCGATTCACTCGTGTGAGAGTCGAGGAGGACAAAATCCTGAACGCCGACCCTGTCCCGGGCGATCAGAGCCCCCTCCATGTTCAGCTGGTGGGGCTTCTTCCACACTGCCTCCTTCTGCAAGTCCACAAGGAAACAACCTAGTTAGGGGGATAAATCAGCAGACTTTCCTTCTGGTCCTGGGAACATTCGCCTAAGTGATGGGGAGGCTGTCTTTTTCTTTTCAGATAACCAGAAACCAGAAATCTTGGCAAGCTACACGCAGGAATGCCTTTTAAAGTTTCCCAGGCTGCAAAATTGGAGAGTGATTTATTCTAATAAATGTAGCCAAGTTGGCACATTGAGTAACTTCACAAAAACAAGGGAACAAAAATCTATGACATTCTCTCTGTGGATACATTGAGCTGGCCCTTTTTCTTTTCCTGAAGCCAAGGAATTCTGTTGCAATATTTTCACGCATGCTGGATACAAAATGCTATAGCTGCAGTCCTAGAATTACGCTGCCACCCCTTCAACCTGAAGCCCGAGAGCTGGTATCTGGACCCTCTCAGGAGACCCAGCCCCACCGCTGTCCTGCAGCTGGACATTGGCTGAAGGCTGGCCTGGCTACTTGCCCTGTCTGAGGCAGAAGCAGCTCTTCGCTCTCCTTTGCTGCAGCTCAGAGCAGATAAAGATCAGATCCTGGCTCTCTCTCTTTCGTGATACCAAGTTACCGAAGCCGCAACCCAGATACTGATTTCGACTTGCGAGGTCAAAGTTTTCCTTTCTGGAAGAGGCTTTGTTATTATTTAATTCTGGAATGTCTGGGGGGGGGGAGGAGGAGCAGGAGGAGCAGGAGGAGGGGGAGGTGGTTAAGCATGAGGTACAAATGGAGGAGGCTCCAAAAGGCTGGAAAAATCCTCTTAACAGTTGTGCTCCTGTTTGAGATGCCGGCACCTTCTCCTCCCCCATCACCTGCCTGGTTTCAGGTCTTGTGCTTCGCCTCTGCTGCTTTCACAAAGGCTTCCTTTGTGAGTTTTGCCGGCTGGGACTTAAACCTATTATGGCAGGATTGGCCCTGCCCGGAGGACCGTTCCGAATCGTGAGGATATTTCCCATCATTCTCCCAGCCTGTAACTGGCCAAAGTTTTGAGGACGCTTGTTCTGAAATGGTGATGTTTGGGCACCTTTTCAGGCCTGGTCAAGGGAGCCGCTTCTGGCTGAGCTGCAGTTTTTCCCCCGAAGGACCAGAATGACTTAAGCCCATAGAGGGAGATGCGAAAGGCCCCCCCCCTTAAGAGACCCAGACTCCACATTCCCACTGGAGCTTTGCAGCCCTCCCCCCACCTCGTCCCACTTTCCTCTGGGAGGGGCTTAGAGTCAACTGGACCTTCCAGTCTAGGGAAAACCCGGCCACCACCCTACCTTTCCCACGTCTCTTTTGTGGTGGGAGACAATGAAAAAGGAGACCCCCCCTCTGCTTGGCCAAACACTGTAGGACGTGGGAATGAAATAAGCTGCAGGCGTCTCCCCAGCTTTTATATCAGAAAAAGTCCATGGAAAATCTCTATGCATACACAGAGTGAGTATCCATCACGGGGCGGTGAGCCCCTCTGCAATTCCAGTGAATAACTACGTTAGCCAGCTAAGATATCTGGGTCTCCTGCTGTGACAGATTTGAGCCTTTTAAATATTTTCTTCTTAGGAATTAATTGCTGCTTTCTTCCCTTGACCGGCAGAGAAAATGCTTACCGTGGAAAAGGTGCAAGTTAAAATGAAATCTTGCTTCCCATTCCAGGGAATCTTAGGAGGTCTGGCTTAACATCCCACTGGCCATAATATGCCTGGGATCACAGCCACGGAAAGGGAAAAAAATCCAGGTTCATTGGTGTTGCTATATTGAGCGATGTTAGGATTGAGGAAAAACTACTGGGGAAAAAAAAGATGAACTACAGCGATCACAGTTGCACCCTCATGGAAAAAGACATCCATTGTTATACCAAATCATGACTGGAGCAATACATAATGAACTCCCTCAATGTTTGGAAGCTCAGAATTTACTGGACCTGAACACCCTAATTTTACAAACAAAATCTCAAAGGCTGCCTTATTAATTCCTAGGTCCTTAACTTTTCACGCTCCTACCAGTCTTAGACTGTGAAATTGCAGATGACCCCTTTTAACAAGTACCGCCACATCAATAATAACAATAATGCCTTACCTTTCCCGACACCAGAGAGAGAGAGAGAGAGAGAGAATGAATAAGCTGCCTGGGGATTTGAGTTCCTCAACCTGAACTCTCCCTCCTGAGGTTCCTCTCTTTCTGCTTGACAAAGTTCTCCTCCTTTGGCCTGAACCCCCTCGGAACACTCCGTTCTCACTTCACCTCGCTTCCCGCTGTAACCCGCATCTCGCTTGCTTCCACCTCTTTGGCAGGGAGGAAGGAGCCCAAGCCAAAAAAAAAAAAAATCTCTTGGCCACGCAAGGCAGCATTGTTCAAATGACCCCAGTCCTCACCCAGCCAGAGAGAGAGAGAGAGAGAGAGAGAGAGACTGGCTGAATCTTCCTCTGATGTAACATCTCAGCAAAGAGATCTTTGACACAGAGAGAGAGAGGGGGGGGAGAGGGAGAGAGAGGAGGAAGGAAGGAAGGAAGGAAGGAAGGAAGGAAGGAAGGAAGGAAGGAAGGAAGGAAGGAGAGTTTCTCCTTGCAGGGCCACCAATTTTGGTACCTAACAGTCTTAGATTCATCCTGCCATCCCAAGTCAGAAGGTGTCTGGTAGCAACCATGGATCACTCAGCTGGTTCCTCCTACTGTAACAGACCGGGGTCTACAAGTTGTCCTATCCTCACACAGGAAGTGGTTGGGCCTGGATGTTTTGCAGCCTTTACTAAGGACATCAAGTGAAGTTTGAAAGCTCTGCTTGAATTATGCTCTGCTGCATCTTGGGTAACATTTCAGCGGGTGAAAATCCCAAAAGCAGCTAATTCGAGAGCAAAGCAGGGCACCCAACAGTATTTTCTCACTGGCCCTGCAGTCAGACGCAGCCTTTCTCAACCTTGCATTCCCCAGGAAGCAGGTGGGACTTGAAGTCCACCCATCTTAAAATTGCCAAGGTTGGGAAACGTTAACCTACAGTAACCCCATGAATACAGTAAAGACACCCAGCCCTGGCACAGAGGTCAGAGCTTTATCCGAAAGAGCTTCTGCTGCATGACTGCAGAACAAACCGTGTCCTCTCGTTCACCCGTTCAATATGAAAGAAATTGCAGGTCACAGGCAGATGCCTAAGCACAGGTGTATTTTCCTAACATCGAGTGCTGGGGAGACAGGAGAGCTGGGTCGATCTTAGGGATCTACCTTCATTTGGTGCCAGCACAGAGAAAACCTTTAGAGAGCAGAGAGTTTGAGGCTGATCATGAAGGAAGCCCACAACCATCTGACAGGCGAGGACAAACACGCTCAGTGTGTCTTGCAGCTCATTTCCTTCAGCCTGGAGAGGCGCAGCCAATGACAGACCTGTTGCAAGGATGCTGCGAAGACCAAATGCGCCTTGCTAGTGCCGTCTCCACAAACTAGAATTCCCTTTTCTCCACAAGAGGTCACCCTAAGCTCCTTCTCAGGTGAAACATCCACATTTCTGCTCTTTCTAGGGGGGGGGGGCAAGCCAAGAGGCCCCATCAAAGAACATCAAAGCTGCTGTCTTCAGAATCAGACGGTTTGTTCCTCTAAGCTGCTTCTGGAGCTTCACACAACAACAGGCTGGGAAAGATTCTACACAAGCCGGGTTGCGTTAGGGACCCCCCTCGGCTACAAACATTTAGACAACCAAGAAAGACAACGCCAATCCTTTGCTCCCACCTCCTCATCTGTTCCGCTCTGGCCAGTTCAAATGAGTGTGTAACGCTACAATATCCCACATATTGGAGACTGCTAAAAAGTTCACACACAAAGAGAACCTCGAGGGAAGGAAAGAAAAAGAGTTGTGAAGTGAAGAAGGTCCATAACTAGTCCATGGTCTGAACAAACCACAATGGCAGACTTTGAACTAAATCCACAGCAAACAAACCACATTATGGCTTACGAATATTTTAAATGTTATTCATATGAATTATGGCATGAATATATCCATCAAAATATGTGAACCTACAAAGGAGTTTTTACTGTAGCAATTTGGGGAGGGGGCTCCTCCTCCCGCCTTTGACTCTCCTAGCCATTCAACTTCTGGCGCTGCAGTTAATTTCTTCCGCTGTAAACATTACATCAGAGGGTCCAAGGCCATCTGCCCAGGATTTGCTCTGTCACCCACCCTCCGCCTGGAAGTGACCTACATTGCATGCCCGTCTCCCAAGTTTTCTCTGCGTTTTCTTCCCTCTGCTTCATTCTGCTCTCAAGGCAAGCGCAAAAACTTCCCTTCCCCATTTCATTTGCCTTTCCTCAAACAGGGGTGGCTTTTGCAAAAGTGTGAATTCTAGAATCATTTCACCACATCAAAATTGCAAGAAAGAAAAAAAATGCCTATGAACTAGCATGCACTGTTCTTATCTGAATCAAGAATCTATCTGGCTGAGTGGTGCTGCATTCATCTACGGGGTTTTTAATTAGGGTTTTAAACTTCATATTAATAAAAGTTTTTACTCCAAAGGCTAATGTGCATTTGATCATTTGCTTTGCTGCTTGGGAAAAGAATATTACCACTGAATCCTAGAAACAAGAAAATCTTAAATGTGTTTGCATCCCACCGAACTTTTTCCAGACTTTATTTAGCCTTGTTTCTTTCTGAAGCCACAGAAAATGCAGATTTTGAGGCTGAGCGGTGGGCAATTTCGACAGTGCCTTGTCTCTAATTTTGGCCCAGACAATCCCTGGAAAATGGAAGGGTCAAAGGGGAGCTGCACCTCAGCCTCCAAAATCAAAAGCAGAAGTGGGGGGAAAAAGGCCCTCCGATGTTCAAACATTTCTTGAAGCCCCCAAAACTCCTAACCCTCCGAGGGGCTTCACGGGTGCCACCTCGCAAACCCTCCACTGGCCCTCTTCACCGCCCTCAGGAGACGGGCCAGAAAGAGCTTAGGGATAATCCCCTGAGAATCAAAACCCTTCACAAGGAAAGGAAAATA